TATATTAATGTATTTTAAAAAATATTTAAGTCTCTGGTTTATTTTTTTAAAGTGAAAATGAGCTACTTGTATGACCAAGATTCTTTGACTGTTGAACTTTAATAGTGATCTAAATTTTTGGAAATATTTAAACTTTTTTGCAGATATAATGGAAGAAAAATTTTGTACACTCTGATGGTCCATCAGGATTTCAATAAAATGTTGTCAAAGCACTTGCCAGCCAACACTCTCAGGAATATTCAAGACATAGTGGAAGGGTTGAAGACTAAGGTATAATCATAAGAAATTTTACACAACTTAATATGGTTGAACTTTTTTTTTTTCATTATGCAGAAAACTTAGATGAATATCAGATTTATTAAGATGAAAGTTATTGTTTATAGGGCCTTGGAGAAATGCCACATGAAGCTTCATCTGCTAGGGGTGGTAGAGGGCCGGCAAGTCGTGCTAGTTCAATAGTTCGAGGAGGGTCTGCCAACAGTGAGCTACAACACAGCACTCCGTCCAAAAGACTTATCCGCACAGATGATGCTACCCAGGAAGCGATCAAAAACATGACAAATCTCATCTCGGCAAATGACTGGAGAGATCGCCACAAAGGCATTTCTATGCTGCTGGAGATGTGTGAGGAAAACACAGACGTGGTCATCATGAATATAGTCAAGGTAATTACAATACAGTTTAATAATACTATATAATTTCTTTAATAAAAATTTTAAGATGGTTGCATAAATTATTATGTATTCACCGAGGAAAAAAATCAGTGAGCCAGTATGAATACTACATGTAGGTGTATGCAGATTGTACCTATATCGAAAGTGCTTTGTCAATTGCAAATTTATTTAAGATACCCCTTATTTACAGATTTTTGACAAGTTCCTACCACGATTACAAGATCCAAATAGTAAAGTGAACTTGTTTGCCCTGAGTGTGATGCTACAGATTGTTCCTATCCTGAAGGACTCCTTGACACAGGTCATGAGTATGGCTATTGGAAACATTGCTCCCAATCTTTCATCTAAAAACAAAGAGATTTACCAAACTGCAATGGAAATCATCAACTCATTAACCGAACACTTAGGTATGCACAGTACATACATGTATCACTAATCAAGACTATCGATATGCAAATTTTCACATTGCTCATGTATTGACATGTAAATTAATCTTTTGTAATAGATGGTGGCCAGTTACTACAACCCTTGGCCAATCAGGCCCAGTCAGCCAGTGCTAGGAGTAAACCTGATTTAGTGACTAAAGTGGCAGGTAAGACGATCCTATAATTCACCGACATTAAACAAGGAGCATTCTCAATTCTTACTTGACTTCTAATGGGATTTTCTATGAACTTTGTTTAGGAAATAAATGGAGAACCTTTTAATTTTTCAAATACAGTAAAAAATATCTATATCAAAGTGACAGGGACAGACAATTTTGAATTGTTATAAACATAATCAATATATCCATTAAGTTCATAGTATGTTTTGAAAGTTCAGGGATTGAAAATCACTTTGCTGTAATGTATGTGTTTGTTCTTGTCATGTTTTACTGTGTCATGCATTTAGAAGCAGACATTTAAGGGATAATTTTTATGTTTTACAGAACTTGTGACAAAGGTATACCAGCGCAAGCAGAAACAGGTGGTGCTACATGTGTTGCCTCTCTTATGGCACCTTTTGGGGGCCACAAACAGTAGTGGGGCAGTTCAGGGTGGTAGCTCAAGCATTCGCACAGCAACTGCCACCCTGGTGAATTCTCTTTATAATCAGATGGGACTGTCCCTGTTAGAAAAAGCAACCTCTGACCCCAACGTAACCCCACGCCACCTACAGTTGCTTCAGGAAATGATTGATAGGTAAAAGAAGATGTCAATACTGTGATATATGTTTTTATTTTTGTTATTTATGGGACTAGTGTGGCCAGAGATGTTTGTTTTTTGGATTACAGGCCTGTATTTTGTCGTTTTGCTTTTTTTTTTTTTTTTTTTTTTACATCTCAAATCTCTGTATTTCGTGTGAAAGTATTTTCAGAATAGTGTACCATTGTATTTCAGATGTTTAATGAATCACTTTTTTGCTCTCTGTTTTGATTAAATTCTTTTTGTCATGAATATTCACCTTCAAATGAAAATTGTCACCAAGATTAAAAATTCCTGTGAACCTAAAAATGAAACTTTGGCCCAAGTTATTGATTTTTTAGCTTTGATGTACTGTGATTTTCTCCAATATCTAGGAGAACATGTTGTTAACCTATTGTAATAGGTAAATATATATTATATGTACAGTTAGTTTTTAATATTTATACTTTATTGTGTGAATGTGATGAAATCAAGTGCTACTGTGATTGTGATGTGAGAGTGATTTTTTAATTTTTCCTTTTATTGAGTATGTATATAATTTATATGAGAACCAGAATTATTATTAAGTCCATGTAGCTTGTCTACATATTGTGTTTTAAAAAAAATCATGTGTTGTTGTTATTGAAAACTATTTATTTTTGTAAGTGCAAATGAACTGTTGACTTGTTTGCACTGTTTCTTGTTGATGTATAGCCAATGCATGATTTCTTCCTATGCGTATGTAAGTGTATGTGAAGAGACCTATCAAGGACAGACATTTTTTTTTTTTGAATAGTAGCTGAGCATATTTTGTTTTTAATGGAGAAAATTAGAATAGCATAATATGCATGTATCATCATTTAAAAAAAAAAAAGAAACTCATAAGCTGAAACAACATGGAATGTGTTTTTTATTTTCGCTTTTTTTTTTGTAAAGAATTGTTGCTAGCATTCCAGAGTTGCATTTTCTCTTTCGTTTTTGTAAATGTAGTCCCCCCCCCCCCCCTTTCCCCCGCAGCATAGTGAAAATGACCAAGTGGGTATCTCACGGTGTTAGATGTCATATCGCTTATTCCCTCTCCCAATATACATAGGAATATATATCACATCTAAACCGTCCTGTATATTAATGCATATGTCTTGTGCCCTATTGGGAAATATATTTAGTTTCGTATGACAATTTATATTTTAAGGAAATACTATGTTTTTTTTTCACTAGAAACTTTTTTTCTTTTCATCTTTACTGTTGAGACGTGAACTGTCAAAAACACCTTGTAAGGAAGACACCTTTTAGTCACAGTATTAGAGTGTATATAGGCCGTCATCTTCAGTCTTTTCTTACTGTGTTATTGTCTTGTTAAGAACCTATTTAAATATAGTCAGGTTGTAATAAATATGCCTTGTTTGGAAATCATAAAGGAATTTGTTGGTGAATAAATGACCTTACACATGTATAAATGTACTGACCATTTTTACAGGTTTTAAAAACAAATACAACTTTTTTCATTTGCTAGTCACATTGGGGATTACATGAAAGTTTATTACTTGATTTTGGACAGTTGATATTTTTTTATTCATAGGAAAAGCTGTACTTGTCAAGTCCGTCCAATATTTAAGAGAACCATTTTTGTTCACCTACCATATCATTCTGTATATACCACTGTATACAAAAATATGTATTTAATTTATTCTGGAATGAATGTTCATGGAGGATTTTCTGTGTTGGCAGATGAGCACGTGTTGAAAGAAATTCATATCACAGATTGAATCCACACAATTTGGCGAGAGATAAAATAAAGTGTGAATATTGTTCCTACTTCACTCAAGTATCCACAATTCTGAGCTGCTTGATTGTTTGAATTTTAAAGAACCCACGCACAAATGAATCTGTCAAATGAATTTCCTCCGTTTATATTCATTCAGTGTTAATTTTTTCACAAAAAGCAATTAATTGTTATCGTCATAATCAGTATTATGTTTATGTAGAGAAACTTTGGCTGTTGGGAGTTAACAGGGGATGGAAATTTCTCATAGTATTACATTGTACAGGAGGACTTCCATCCCCTTATTATGGCATTTAATTGGAACTGGGACAGAACCTGATTGATATGGAGTAATGATGGTTTAAACTGATTGTCTGTAGAGTAGATATTCTTGTGCATATGACAGTATGTGCTTGCTCAAATCATTCCATCCATCTTCATTTGGGCTGTGTTGGCTATTGAAATACCAAATAAAATATTCAGTGAATTTATTGGTGTTGTACTTAAAAATTAGAAATTTTATTAACCGAACCTCTTGACTCGAGTTCAAGTGCAAACTTCAGTTCATGCTAGTCTTGTGAAGAAGTCATAAAATGGCATGTCCGAAAATACATAAATCTCAAGACCAAAAACAACTTTCAAATACTATTAATTTAAAAGTAGTTTAAAACGGTAGTTTCTCACCATTTCTGCTTATAAATGTATTTATTACCTCTAGTTTATGAATTAGGCTATACAGAATGGTTAGTAGGGTCATTGTAGATGTACTGTAGACCTCCCATAAACAAATCATCTGGGATCGTCCATTTCGTGTGAACTCAAAAACAGTTACTATTAATATGGAGACAATGTAGTGCTTATTCAAGTATGTTCTAACCATGGCCCCTGTGACGGGGACAAGAAATAAAATGAAAATAAAAAAATCTTTGGAAAATCTGATGAAAAACTACAAGGCTACATACGTGTAGATTCATTCAAACCATGGCCATGGGGGCAGAGTAAGAGATGCAAAGAAATATGTAGGAAAAAAATCTTCCAAAATCTAAAGAACTACAGGGCTAAACATATTCCTTGAACACAAGCATGTTGGTAAGACACAAATTTACATATTCTTGAAATTAATTTTTTTTTTTAGTTTGCCAAAACTAAGAAATTTGATCCCCATGGATGTTAATGAAACCACAGTAGTCAAATCATATGCAAGCATTCTCAATATACAGTATGTTATTCAGGTTTGTACACACCCTGGTCCTTGGGACAGGGAACAGGCCACACAATTTAAAGTTTCTACCAAGAAAATGTAAAGGGTAAAGACCTTTTACCATCTCAGATCTGACATTCATGAAATCAAGTTTTAGCCAAAAGAGAAAACATGTACTTGAAATATAAACAGATCTCTGGTCTTGCAGTCTTTATTTGAAATATAACATAACTGTTATTAATTGTATGATTTACATGTAAGAAAAAATTACATGTACATAATTAAAAAACGACATGAATGCAGTACTTTCTACAAAAAAACAGGATGGAGGATTCATTTTAAGCACTGTACACAGTAAAATGTCTGCTGCATCAGGAAGACAGTTCTGTAGAATCAGTCTGAACTTGTTTCAGAAGACTTCTCCTAATTTGTGGAAGTTCTGTATATAGTTCAATCCCCAAATCCTTTTCCAGATCCGCCATTTTGTAGTGCAATATATGCTGGCATAACTCCTGTAGGTAAATAGCACTTATTTTCAGTAAAAGTTTCTATATACTGTAAATCACTTTATATTCGCAAGAACTTTATTTAGGTGTAATTACTCGTGCTCGTGAAAATTTTATTCTTGCGTATATAAGTATGCCTAAAGATTACATAAAGCAATAACCACAATTTGTGAAAATTTTGTTTTCCTAATAAAGAGTCAATGACTATCTTGCGAAAATAAAGTGTCGTAAAAATTTAGTGATCTACAGTAAACCTTTCTAACAACTACAAGCCTGTGATGATTACTATATTTTAGTAAGTGAAATGATCTTACCTTATGAGGAGATTTAAAGGTCTGCAGAATCATTCCATGTTTCAGTTGAGTGTGTTTCTTTTCCTGGTTGTAAATGAACCTGTTCACATGGTGTATGGCAATTAAATACAGCAAAGGTGACCAATGAAATTGCAGTCGCCTTGACAACAGATTCTGGAAATACAATCTGATCAACTCCACATCCGACTCTTCAGGATTCAAAAAATTATCTAGAGGAATTGGGATCTGAAAATGCAAAGCTTCCCTCATTACCGGTATTTCTAACTCTATATTCATCTACATGTATCTTTATTAATTATGTATTTTTGTAAATTTTTTTTACTTCTTTTTTTTCAATTTTAATCTTGTGAAAAACTTGGCTAACCTGCAATGGTATTTTGCAATAAAAGTAGAGAAGTAAAATAGTTAAGTGAAAATTGTTGCTTGGATGAAAATGCATCAACTCATTTTTCCTATGCTACATTGATTCGAACTGAATTCATGTCAGCAAATAAATATTGAAAACCTGTACAAAGGAAAATGTAGAAAGTACATATGGATACTGGATAATGAAATAAAATGAGATTTTTAATCCTACATTTTACTAACCTCTTTCAAAGATATGTGCATATAGCGAAGTATCCCAGAATGCTCCATCCATAAAGCCTTTCTAAGCTGGAGGCTGTGTTTTTGTTGAATGGGGAGGAGGATATAGCAGGAGAAGAGAGAGTCTCCAAATGACACGGCCTCAAATTGCTGCAGAAGAGCAGAGTACCTGTAACAGAGGATCAGCTTTTAAAGTACACAATTCTATTCATCCTGTTAAGTAAAGCAAATCCTATAAGCATCTTTCCTTTTCACTTTTCAAAAGAGGTAAATTATTCACCCCTTTTCTTCATATTACTTGAAAAAAAATACACAAAAATATGTTCTATATATAATTTTTTCAATCACCTTCCATATTACTATAGGAATAGGTTTTTGTTCCAGGCATACATAGATATACAGTTGAACTTCGGTATCTCAAACATAGATATCTCAAATACCATGGATATGTCGAAGTGATTGGGAAGTCCTAACTACGTATTTCTTAAGTATTTAACCCTTGATGTCTCGAACCCTCATATATATCGAAGTTTTTTCTCAGTTCCATTGAGTTCGAGATAACGAGGTTTGACTGTATTTGAATGTAACTTAAAGATGCATAAACAAACAGTGTATAGTGCGGATCCCCCTTACAATTCTCAAGTGTCCTGGGTACTGGTTTACAGAAGTACTTACGATGAAGTCTGACAATTTTTCATTGTTCTAAAATCTCGCCAACTTACTAGTTTTGTGAAATTATACTTTTATAAATTTACTTGCTGAATTCTTCTTATTCACATTAAAATCACTATTTAATCAACATTAAGAGTGAAATAAATTGCCAAAGCAGATTTTGGACTTAGTTGTAAGTTCTTTTGCAAAACTTGGTCCTGGGAAAATAAGGTTTTCAATTAATATCAGTTTTACACCCACATAAACTATTTCTCTTAAAACAGGAATTAACCTACAGGCATTTAAAAATGTTCCAGAATTATTTTTTTTTTAAATTTGATTTAACTATTATAATATATTTCCTTAACTTATTATTTTACTAACTGAGGAAATTCACCTCAAATCATATTAATTTAATAGGCCCAAATCTACAAGTCTCTGTATATACTGATAAATTTTGGTTGCATTAAATCAACGTAACCTTTCAAGCTCATCACCAGAAACAGTCTAAACTTTCTCCAAAAATTATAAATATTGTGGGTTTCATAACTGTTCACATTTGATGATGACAAATGAATCATTTATAATTGAAATCAAAACTCTCAAATCGGTGATATCCCAAGAGAACTGAAGCCAATAAAGGTAATGGACACTGAGCACTAATGACTGTAATAATTTTCAGACAGGTCCAGTGTGAACTCATTATGCTGCACATCACAAGAAATCAATTCATTTAGAACATGTAAATGTTGGAATACATAATATATTGGTATGGATGGATAAAAAGTGTTTCTGATCTTGTAGCACTGTACCAACACTGAGCCATCTATGGATATACTGAGTGAAAAATATCTTTAATACTAAGAAAAAATTTGTAAAAGTTTGAGAAACAAAGAAATCAAAAGACTGAAGAATTTTTATGATTGGATCAACTTTCCATTTTTTAACCGAGACTTCAACAAGAAAGAAAAATTGGCTAAAATGCGTTACTCAGCTCAGAACTTGACTCTAAAGGTGAACATTTCTCTCCCTGGTCCTCCTATGGAATTTAATGAGGAAGACATTAGAGAGATTCATTTTTCAGCATCTCTGACTTTTTCCTTCTTGGGAGTGATCTGCAATAGTGTCGTTCTTGCTATCGTCAAGAAGTACCACAATGATGTTGAATACCATAAAGATACTATCCTTGCCATGAATTTATTCATCAACAATCTCCTGACTAGTTTTCTCGTGACTCTGTTTATGGCACTGGATGCTAAATATCTCTATCCAACACTTCAGAATCAGCATTCAAACACTGCACTGTGCAAGCTACAGTTGTACCTTGAGTATTCCATTCTGGGAACGGAGTACCTAATTTTAATTCTGATGGGTATGAGTAGATACTTTATGATTAACCATCATGCTTTGTATCAAAAGATATTTGGTCCTCAATGGAATTACTGCTTTATCTTAGTCTTCAGCTGGGTTGTGTGCCCCTTAGTTTTTGTTTACACATTGTTCCTGCCATGGGAGGATATAGCCTACAGCATCCACACCTCTACCTGTCATTACACTGGGAAAGAGCAGGATGGGTTCTTCTTCAGTACTGCCATCTTTCTTTTCACCATTCCTATTATTCTGTTCACTTACATTGCCATTGGTATCAAATTGTTCAAAGTCCAATCCAATCTTAAAAGCCATCGCAGAAAATCAAGAGATCTAGACAGAAAAGTGCCACACAGAGAGAAATGGCTGGTTATGTCAGTAATAGTGCTGTTTTTTAAGATTTTCATCACATATTTACCACATACCCTGCTTATCTTTATTGACCCTGGTAACGAACCTCACCTATCTAGGACACAAATCAACGCCCATATCACATTCCTATATCTGCGATTCACCAATACATTTACCAATGCCATCAGCTACTGTTTCCTGAACTCCAACGTGAGATCCACAATAATTAAACTGTGGCCATTTTGTCATGGAAAAGTTCATTCCAATAACTCTAGCAGTGCATCAAATAAACCTGAAAATATCAGTCTGTCATATGTTGGAAGTGAAGCAGACGACAATGAGAGAGTGCTGTCAGACGAGACTCCAGGTCTGAAGATGGAGAACAAACCAGAGCTTGAAGTCAATGTCAAAATGCCATCCATTGCAGAAAATATGAGGATGTCTTTCTCATCCAATTCAATATACATCATCAGTACAAACTCTGTGGATGAGGAGGGCTTTGATGAAATGGTCCAAGAAGCTCCAACAAAAAACACAGATCATGAAATACTCACCACTTCAGTTCCACACAGTGCTGGACAAGACATTTTACCCAGTGTTCAGATCACTACCTAAATGTCTGGCTGACTTTGGTAAACTTAGCTGGTTTAATTGTACATGTATCAGGAGTCTGTTTACTTTTAACTCATGATGTGCATTCATTATGTACATTCAACAAATGATGGTGGTATTCATTTTAAAGTTATCATTCATTACAGAGAACTTTTATCATACATGTACATGTATTTGTTTCAACAAAATATAAATCAACATGATTTATATCTAAAGCTATAGTGAGACCAACTTTATTTTGGTTTTGTTATACTTAAAATATTTACTATGATCTCTCTCTTTTTTAACATCAACACCTTCTTAGGGCACTTAAAGCAGAAATGTCTAACCAGTATGGACATGTTTGTAGTAATGAGATTGACAATTATGGGTATTTGCTGCAGACAGCTCCACCTAGGTCTAGAACCCTGGACCATGTATAAGAATGGTGCATGTAATTTTCAAAAAATAACCACAGTGCATGAATTGCAAAAAGTTTGTCTGGTACTTTATGAGGAGTGAAAAGATTTTGAAAGATTTTTAATGCAGTTTCATAGAATAATAAACATCGCGAAAACTTTAGGCCTGAAAACTGAACACTTAGATTGTGAATTTCATAAATTTGGTGTAATGCTAAATGTTCTTCATACTGGGGAATCATTAGATTTCATGGTGGCTCAATATTCATGAAATTTGTAAGTACCCCTTAACCACACATTAACATCCTCCCCTAATTAGTAAACTGATTTTTCAGTCACCTTTCCTTTTGTAGATGTGATGGCAAAATACAAAATTAATTCCCCAGAACCTGTAAAATTTAAGTAATCCATGAAAATTGGCCACAACAAATTTTAATGATTCCACAGTAATCATACACTTTGCCTGCTTGATGTTCAAATTCAGATGTCAAGAATTTTCAGCATATGACTCAACTTAACCCAACTCTGGAACCTAAGCCATAGACAAATGTGTAGTTCTCATGAATTTCAAAATTTGGTAAAGGGCAAACTGCTCACTATAATGATGTAAAACATTTGCCTCCTACATAATACTTGTACATAAAATATATCTCCAGGTAGAATTTCAGGGCTTTAATGCACTTTGAATTTAATGACCAATATATTCCCATTCTAAGATCTATACTAGCTGGGCACCAAGATCAAGAATTTCATTATTTTGATACAAGGTAAACTACTCATTATACGTATAGTCATGAAAACTGCCTCTACTAGATGTCTAGAAATTAGGGATGTCAACAAATAGTCGACTATTCGACCATCAGTCGAATGGACCGACGATCGAATAACGAAACGACATTCGAATAAATAAATTCAATAAAAGAGTGATAAAGAATTGGAATTCTCATCCTAAAATTGAGAAACCGTCTTCCCTCAGACACAGTCGATAAGATAATTTTCCTCATTAAAAACTGCTGACTTTACATGTAGAAAGTACAGTGATTAGAAACGCTTCACTTCCGCGTGAATTATTGTCAATTAATGTGTTGTTTTTATAATAAAATTATCTCGCCATACTGCGCTTTCTTTGTAAAACTATTAATTGGACTTGATCTCATACCATGTACCCATTATAACCGTGACATATTTGGACGCTACGATAATTATTATAAAATTAATATTCTTTTACATATTTTAAAGACATTTTGATAATTGGTACAAAAAGTATATTCAAATATTTAACATTATCAAGGGCACCGTATGTGCCCCCCATCATTTTAATAAGCTTAAAAAAAATATATATCACACAGTCATTTTTTATGCTTCCTAAAAAACCGACTTTACAGACCAATTTATGAACATGATTGATGGTGAAATCCTACATTTTGGAGAAATAAGCTGTCTTTATTAAGTAAATATAAACACACTATCCACATTTTAAGTCCATGTGAACATCTGTGTGTAACATTTGATGTAACTTTTTAATCAATTTAAAAAAGGGGGATTTGAGATTAAATATGTGATGTACCAGGTGAAGTTTGAAATAAAATTTTAGTTTCCGAAAAAGTTTTGAATATATTCGACTATCGTTCGAATAATGCAATCGAATATTCGACTAAAGAAAATAAATATTTTGACATCCCTACTAGAAATAAAGATGCATGTCCAAAATATGCCCATACTTAGCCAACTCTAGAGCCTGAACCCAAGACAAAATTTTTTTTATGAATTTCACAATTTAGAGGGCTAAATCTTATCATTAAAACAGTTTGACTGCAACATGTTCAGAAGTAAAGAAGATAACTTATTTTTGAAGATTGCATTACTTATCTATTTGCTCCACCAATTTTGCCCCTCTGGGTGTGGGGATCATGTGAATGTAATTCATAATTTTTGTTCCAAATTGTTCATGAATGGCTAAATGCCACATACCAAAAGTCCAAAACTCATTAAAATTGGTTCAGCTGTGACAAAAAAGAAACTAGTTAAAAGAAGAAAAAGTTCTCTACTTACAAATCATAAAAAGAAACAATCCCTGGAATCTGCTCATCAAAATTGAACTGTCCTAAAAGGCGGGGTGTAGAGAACTCCCTGAGCAAGGCAGCCAGGTACAAGTACACAGTCTTATCCATAAATAAGTTGTTACCTAAAACAGCATTAAAACTAAGACTAGAAAATTGACAAAGTCAGAGAAGGCCCTCATAAGGGCTGTTAAAAGGAAAGTCCTGTACTTAGATATACATTCAGGTATGCACACATACAGACAGACAAAGTGATATGACCTTTAAATTTATTTTTAAAAAAAACCTTTCTCTTATAGTCAAGTTCTTTTGTATAAAATTTGAAAATGTTACCTTGAAAGCTAAGTTATCATGTCACAATAAAACTGTCACTCATAAACATTCAAACATACATGTGTACAGACAGACAAAGTGGTATAGCCCTATAGTCTACAGTTGTCTTGCTCTTATAGCAAAGTTCTAATGAACAAAAAATTTGAAAAGATTTCGTAGAAAACTAGTTGAGTTATTGCATTATAATAAAAGTGTTGAAGGACAGATTGATGGACATAAATACAGCTAGAGGGATAGATGAAAAATGTGATTCCGATAGGCTCCTGCATTTTGATGTGGGGCCCTAAATACCAAATGTTTACTTCATACCTATTATTAAATCATTGCTTACAAGTATAAAGTTAAAAAAGCATTAATCCATCTCTTGGGCCAAAATTAAAATGTTTACTTAGCTCTTTGTGATGGAATCCCAATGAAACAACTCAATTCAAAAAAAAAAAAAAATCCATTTATGTTAGCATTACACTCTGTACTGTTGTTTTCAATTTGACTGCAATTTTTTTTCCCAGTTAAAATTGTTTTTATGTTGAATCTATGTTCAGAAAGAGTACATTTGTCATAGATAAATCCCCTGCTTAACCTACTTACTGATCAAAATGGTATGCAAAACAGGGAATTTAACAAAATTTTAAGTTAAGCCTTTTGTGGCAGATCATTGTAATATAATTTACCTGTCAAAAACGTACACATGACCCTGGAGACTCTGAGAGTGACGGACACAGACTCGGTGACCTGGGGCTGGGACCTCTCTAGAAGATACACCCATCTTAGGACAGATGTCACCGTGGATACCTCAGTCTTAGACAGGGCATTCTGAACATCTGCCCCCCTATACAAGAAGTCATTTGTTTGAGACACATTTACAGATAATAAAATAGCATTTCAAGTATTTTGAATAATTCATAATAAAACATTAATGTTAAACAAATGTTCATTATATGTCATTCAAAGTTAGAAGAAAACTTACTGTAAACTTGGAAATTTACATGTGAGGGGTAATTTACAATAAATAAATATACAATAAAAAAAACTTTTGCCTAAATATCCCCTTGTGTACTTATGCCTTTAAGTATATTTTTTTCATTTTTTACATTACACAATCTTGGTAACATGGAAATAACCCCCAAGCATAATGTTCTTGCTTTTAATTTAGAAAATTTAACAATACGAATACATGTAGATATCCACATTAAAAGTACAATGAAAAAATCTGTAGAGATTAGATGAGAACTTACACTGAACTAAATCTGTTGTAGAGATCACATCAGTAGAGATTAGATGAGAACTTACACTGAACTAAATCTGTTGTAGAGATCATTAGTAGAGATTAGACGAGAACTTACACTGAACTAAATCTGTTGTAGAGATCACATCAGTAGAGATTAGATGAGAACTTACACTGAACTAAATCTGTTGTAGAGATCATTAGTAGAGATTAGACGAGAACTTACACTGAACTAAATCTGTTGTAGAGATCATTAGTAGAGATTAGAAGAGAACTTACACTGAACTAAATCTGTTGTAGAGATCTATCAAAGGGAGATACATCCAGTCTAATGGAAGCAGGGTCTCTGCTGGTGTGGAGGACACAAGATTCTGAACTTCTAATGCCTGCATTAGGAACCTGTGTCTGTAAAATGCATAGGTGTTAAACTATAACTTAAAGGGTACATGTTTTAACTAGTGCATATTCTGACCAGAAACCCATCACGAGACTGTAGCACTACTGGTGTGTACTGATAATAAAGAAAGATATACTTAGAATAGTCTACTTGTGTACCAAGTCTAATTGAAACCCAAAACTGCAGAAGGAGTAATGTTTTGAAAGAATTTCAAAGAAATTTCCATTTAAAGTAACACACTGCGACACTGATAGTCGAAATCTAAACTATACATGAATTATTTATCTAAAAATAGTTTTCTTGTGTACCTAGTCTTATTGAAATCAGATTTAAACTGTTAAAATTGGATTCGTAGATTTTGAAAAAAATTATACAAATATTTCATTTTTTAGAAAACATGGCTAAACTTTTCATCATTTTCAAAAACCAGTGTATAGAATTATGTATCTTAGTATATTCAAAGTATACTAAGTATTTTGGAAATCAGAAAAAAAAAGCGGTAGGGGGAGTAGCATTTTGAAAGAATTTCAAAGAAATCTGTATTTCCAGTTACAAGGCAACATTATTTGTCGAAATCTGATAAACAGAATTATGTATTTTAGTATAGTCTAACTGTGTACCAAGTCTTATAGAAATCAGACCAAAAAAAAATGGAGGAGGAGTAGCATTTTGAAATAATCACAAAGAAAATTCTTTTTTTAATAACCATGACAACACCCTGCATCATGATTGAAAAACTGATAGTTTTAGTTATCCAGGTCCAATCAAGAGTGTATGGGTATTTACCCCGGGTTTTATTTCATACACCCTTTGGCTGAAGGATGTATGTACACCCTTTGGCCAAAGGATGTATGGAATACAACACGAGGTAAATCCCCATACACCCTTGATTGGACCTGGATAACGAATTTATTTCCTATGTACCCAAATAAATTGCTTGTAAACAAGTCCAATCAACTGTGTTTCAAGCTATCGATAAGATTATTTTACTAGTACTTCAGGCAATGCATCGTGACATCATGTTATTTGCTTTTTATCATAGAGAAACTATGCATTGTGACATCATGTTTTTTTTACCTCCAGCTCAAGTCGGGTGTACAGAAATTTACACCTGACTTTGTAACCAATCAAAGCTTGTGTTACATAGGAAATAAAATTTTGTATCTTAGTACAGTTTATTTGTGTACAAAGTCATTAAATTTGGACCAAACTGTAGGAGTAGCATTTTTAAAAATTGTTTACAGACAGACAGACACCTTCCTAGTGCATAAGCTGGTCTCTGACAAGTAGAGCAGAAATACATAGGTAAGATCTATATTTTTATTAGATTGTATGCTAGTTTATTACTTGCTTTTGATATTTGTGATCCTGAAACAAAAACAAAATGTAATACCTGGAATGAATTGCCATCTTTTGTTGGCTGGAGAAAGCTTGAAGATAAGCAGCCCTGATAGGAACCAGTTCAGACAGAGTGGCAGCCACCAGTTGAGTTTGATTGACAGACACTTGTTCCTGGGTGACACTACACAGATGTACTGCATCTGACAGCTGGAGATTCTCCAGGGAACTTGTCATCTCATCTTCATCTTGTCTACAAAATATTCACATAAAACAAAACATCAATCTTAAATCATGTAAAAAATATCTTTTGAATTAGAGATACATGTATTTAACTCTCTACATATTCAGTTTTTTTAACCACATATAAGTTTTTTTTAGAGTATAGAAAATCAGCATTAATGAATATAAATGTAACTTCATGTTAACAACTGATTCAATGGAAAAATTCAAGTTTATCAAATGTGTATTTTTGGATTCGTGATCAGTACACTGTATAACTTACTTCCATACATTTGGGGAGAACATAACTGTTGATAAAAGGTCATGAACTAAGAATTCATCTCCATGTTGAAGCTGTGTTATCGACCTGAGCATAAGATTCTGTACAAGAGGGACTGTCCTCTGACTAACAGGCTAAAATAATAAAATAAGAAGGTCTTAGAATCTGACCTTTATAATGGACTTTGCCACAACATAAAGTTAAAAACATTGTTTTCCATTTTGATCAAATATTTGATTTTCTCGAAATATTTCTATACTTATAGCCAACTTTAAAACTGTGGACAGAAATACATAGATCAAAATAAATATCTGTTCTATGATTATTCAGTCCCTTGACTCCCCCCTCCTTCCCCCACTCATACACACAATCATGCAGGGGCATGTACATGTATTCTGAAAAATAAAGGATTTCTAAAAATAGATAATTTCTGGAAAATAATTTTTTGGGGGAATTTGAAGCTAAATAATAACTGCAACAATATTTACAGTTATTTAGATTTGCAGATATACATGTACAGATAAGATAAGATAAGATAAGATTTATTGATCCCAATTTGGGGCCCCTCAGGGCATACAAGTAAAGAATTATATACACAAGAAGAAATTCAAAATTGATAGTAACAACATGTCGATATTAAGAGAAAAGAAAAGAATTAACTAAAGAAGATGATGATGATTATAGCAGATGGGGATTACCAATAATAAATGCTTTAAAAAATATATATATATATACATATATATAATTAGCAAACGTACAAAGATTTGTAACATGTATATTTGTACTAGAGTATTAATAATTTAATATTATTACTCTTTTGCATTTATTTGGTTCTTTTTAACATTATATAATTCACTATTTCTTATTTTAAAAATATTGATTAGAAAATTACCCAACTTGATAAGCAATATATCATTCTCATTTGACATCATCCACAAAAATTTTTCTTTATTTGTTAAACAATAAAAATTTTTATTATTTTTAGCAATATTCTCAAAAAATTCATGTCTATCATGTTTATATAATGGACATTCAATCAGTGAGTGAATCTCATCTTCCACACAATTCATGTCGCACATTCTACAAATCCTTTCATTTCTTGCAAGGGTGGTTTGCTGTCCTTTTGTGTTTACATTTTTTTCATATCTTCCACTTTCAATTCTGAGATTATGTGCACTTATTCTAAATTTACATATAATTTTTCTTTGTTCAAAATTTTTTAAAAATAAATACTTTTCAATTTCAAAACTTCTTTTTACAAAGAAATATGTTGTAAGTTTACCCGACAGACAGCCCTCTTCTCTTTTTATAAACCAGTATTGAAGGAAATCCTTTCTAATAATTTTTTTCAGTTGTTTCTTTAAAGTTATTAGTTTCATTGATTTACATTTTGACCAAAGTATGCCCATTTTCTTACATAGATATGTTACATTTGAAAACCAACTATTTATTATTTCTATGTACATATAGTTCACAACCCCAGTTATATTTTAAACATTAAAAATTCAGAATATACATGAAAATTGAACAAAATTTGACTCACATTTCTGGATACTAGTTTCATGAAGAAATACATCACAATGTCTTCATACTTGTTGAAATGAAAAGAGGATGTAGATGTTGGAGAATTTGCCATTTTCCTTAGGTAAGTTAGTAAGTTTCCCTCTGCAGAAATAAGGTCAGCAATCTACAAAGAGGTACACATTATGTCCTTATGATGTGCTGTAGGAACTTTTATCTCTTGTCACTGGTGTACCAACATCAAAATGAACAACATTTCCAGTATCTTTTAACTTTTTCTATGACTGTCAAAGTAAAAATGTTGGTTTATATGTTGCTGATTTTCTTTGTTTTCTGTTTTTTGATTTTTTTTTTCACAAATAGATATATTTAAATTTTTCCTTGGATTTTCTCTAAAAATATATATTTTGATGAATAATGTTTGTACCCTTGCTTGAAGACCTTTGTGAGCTTGGCCGGTAACATATAACATCCTAAGAACTGCTGCCACCATACCAAGAGGTGAATATTCCTGTAGACAAGGTTCTATTAAGTGGCCATCATTGATTCTTAAGCCAAGCCCTGGCAAATTGTCAGCATATTCCATTTTCAACTGATGTTCTGGGTTCAGGAGGCTTGAGCAAGGGCTGAAATGACAAAAAATTCACAGTTGTAGTTCATTAATCAGTTTCATAATCAATATGATGAAATGACCAAATAAAAGTAATATGGATTTACAACATGTCACTTGAATATGAATACAAAGTATTCAACAAGTTCTAACAACCATCTGTCAAACAAAATACATTGTTTAAGGAAACATTCACATTCATTACACAGTATAGATATATAAAAACAATTAAACAAGAAAAATATATAATAATCCTTTGACAACAGTTACCATAAACTTGACAGCACAGCCTGGAATCCCAGTGATTTAATAAGTGGTTCTAACACATCAGTAAATATTTTCTCTATGTACTGAAGTCCTGTCACTGGATCAAAACTTTTCTACAAAGGAAGAAAGCTTGCCAGCTAAATGCATTACTGCTTACAGCGACACAGTTCAATACATATATAGACAATGGTGTTCAATCATAATAATTTAATATTTTTTGTTTTAAAAAGTGGGACAACTTACATGTGAGGACCAGGATGAGATATATGATGACATGAAGTTCAGACAAGAAACCTCAAAATCTATGTTGAATTTCTGCAATTAGAGCAAGAAATACTAATATTTTGCTGACAAAAATACAGAATATTATTCATCAATTTCAAAATTCTGTTTAAATACAGTTTGGAAAAGTGAATGCGATGAAATGATTTGACAGAAAAATTGCCTTTCATGATAGATGTTTAGAAATACTATTAACCCCTGTCATACCTTATGTTGATATGTATTTTCCAGGTTTTTTAAGCATTTTTGACAAGTATCCATGACAATCTGACTAACATCAGTGATTTGGCTCCATGTGACACTAGGCAACAAATTCTGATCCGGGTCACTTGGAAGTTTGCTGAAGCAATAAACACACAGATGTCGATAAAATTATATTCTATTTGATCTGTATTACAAATAAGAGACATTTCAAAAATAAATACCTTGCAGTTGATCCAAATTTCCTCTGATCACATTGAGCGGCGAGTAACACTACTGATTCTAGGACTGTAATGAATGCTGTCATTCTCATGCTTTTCATAATGGGACAACTTTCTAGGTATTCCTTTTGAAGAACTTCTAACTGAGAGAGTATACAAGGAAAAATGTCTCTAAAAATAAATAAAACATAAAAAAAATTATATTTTATTTTTCTCAATGTGATGAGAATTTTACATAATTGTACACTTGATGTTATGAGCAACTTTTGATTTTGGAGGCACTAAAACTTTATCTGATGTTGCATTCTGGGAAGTTTAATATAAGTAATCTGTGCCTGCCATGACTGCTGGTGAAATTGTGATCTAGTGATATTCTGGAATTTCCCAAAATACTGGAATACAGTGCATATATCCTCATACTGACCTATTGTTAACTTCTAAATAAGGAGCTTACGTGAAGAGATCTGAAGCCAGACCATAACAGAGACAGGTCCTCCATGTCCTATAGCTCTCAATCTGTAACCTTAATGCCTCCTTCTGTGGGATCAGCAAATCACTGCAACAATTTATAGAAAACTAGAAATACGTCCATAGAACATGAATGCCCCATCCAAGGTACATATGTATTGCAACAGTGAAAAAGAAATGTTCCTTTCTTCTTTGGTCTGAGATTGGTTCATCTCATCTAATACCTAACAGCTAAATAAAGTCTCATTGTTTCAAGTTCACTATGTCGTTTTTAGTAAATTTATATATGATCTCTTATTTTTTTTTTTTTCTAAACTATGCTAATAGCATTAGAGAGGTCAAGGTCATAGGGAAATCAAGGTCAAAAAATAATGCTACAGTTTAATAACTCCCACCATATGTTTAAGTGTGTGAGATCTAAACACATATAGGCAATAGTAAGGTAAAAGTCAGGAAATTATAGTTGAAAACAGAATAGTTTTTATCAATATGTATCAGTGTATGAATTTGGTTAACATATCTTGAATAGTTAGGTCAAGGTCACAGGCAACTCAAGGTCAGAAAATGATGCCACAGTTGAATAGCACTCATCAAAATGTATCAGTGTAAGAATTTTAATAAAAATGTCTTGAAAAGTTACTTTACAACTGAGCTAAATGCAAAGTGTGACAGAAGAACAGATGGAAAGATGGAAGACGACATGACAAACACTCTATGTCCCGCACATATTCATGGTAGGGCATAATTTCAAAAAAAAATATTCTGTTTTCAAAAACTACATGTACATATATGTATATAAAAGGCATTCTCTTTCATAAATACTACTAATAAATCAGCTTAAACTTTGGATATATATCCATATAATTCATTTTTCAGTGATACATGTATCATAAATTTTTGGAAAAAATACTCACTCTGCATTTTTCTCCACTATATATCTTAAAAATCTAGCCTTTATATGGTATTTATTGAGCTGAAATAAAAGTAAATTGTATGATGGTGACTTGATCATAAAGACAGCAAAACAATTATTTTAAAATGATTCAGCAGATTTTGACCACTCATTACCAGTGTAGCAGTTAAGTTCCTGCCAGACTGAGCCAAACATCGCACTAGCTTCATAGCAATGGGTACAGGAACACCATACAGGTCTGACAATGGGGCCTTCACATCTATAAAACAAACCCTACACTATACGCCACTTTGTCAAAGCACATACATGTACCGGTATATACATGTAGCACATGTATATATATTTATCTCTGTATTAGCCTAATTACAAAGAAATAGTGTACACAATGACATCTTTTAAAGTATCTTCTAAAGGATATTGAAGGAATTTGAATATTGAATTTTCAGTTAATGAGAGTACGTGAAATGGTAAAATTTCTAATCTGAATACTGTAAATGTGAATATTTTTGCTTCATTTCATTTCATGTTTGAGATTTAATTTTCAGTTTTCTCTGATTGCTGAATTTTCAAAGCGTGGAATATTGACATAAGTAAAATGCAATAAAGGATGATTTCAATCTTATGGGATTTTTAAAAAAAAAAAAAAACAATCATTGCAAAACTCTACCAATTTGCCAAACCATCAAATCACAATTTCCAATAATTGACAGTAAAAAGAAAATGCAATGTACCTAACATTCTCCAACTGGTGGGCAAGAATTCTTCAACAATTAGTTCTATCAGTCCATGACATCGTTCCACCTATAAAGTAAACTGAAAACAATTAAACAAGAGTACGTATTTTTGAAAATTCTCCTAGATTACTTAGACATGCTCTGACCTCATAAGCCATTTGTGGTGAGTGCCTGACTATTCTTATCAGAATCTCCAAACACTGGAGGACACTGGGGGCTTGAGGGTGTGAGTGGGACAGAATATGGTGTAAACGTGGGAGGAGGTTCATTCTCATCACCAAACACTGTAAAAAAAACATCTTGTTCAGGAGAAACAAAACAACATGTAAAAAAATAATTAAACAGAACAATAATAAAAATGGACTGCTGAACTTCAGAGATCTACAGATTCAGAATATCAGAAGTTGTACATAATTATGGACAAACCACATCAGAAATTTTCAACACTGAGAAATAACTTTCATTCTTAACTCCATTATTACAAATGATTAAGAATAATTTCTCAAATCATCAATTTACTCTTTGTATCTTTATGCAATTACTCCAATTTAGATCTGACAAAGGAGGAATCAATTCTATGTGAAATAACACATAGTATCCAAATACACATTACATAGATAACATCTCGTTTCAGAATGTCAGCATCTGTCTCTAATGGCTTCTCATCCTCAAGGGTGGGGTCCCTGGAGGTCATTTCAGCTGACATTTTGGAGGTCTTGAGGCAAGGTGACACATGTCCTTGAAACCATGGCAACACTCTATCTAAAGACTCCTGAAATCAAAAACATAAACATTTTAAGTTAGAGGCAAAACTGAAAGAGAAGCTGTGTGGAAATTTATAAATGTACATGTATATGTTTTGAAAAATAAAACAGAATATTGTGTTCATAGTATCAAAAATGGTATACTGATAATTATAAAAAAAGAAATTATGGATAATTTTTGCAGTGTTCAATCTTTGATGAATTTTGCAGCTCTTTAAAATTGCAAACAATAAAAAAAAATCATAAAATATTCAGATCCTTATCTCTGGTACATTGTATTGCAATTTGAATAATTGCAAAAATCAAAAATGCAAGAAAAGTATCAAATAGCAGAAAATTCTGAGCCACAAAAATTACATGTTTATAAAGTATATTAAAATCTGAGAAAATTGCTCTTTAAATTATGTTTATAACACACAAAAAGATGTATCAGAAAAAACCTTGACAGGAAAACACATGTAATGGATCCTTCAAGAGAAAATAAACTAGAAATGTTCTTGATGAAATAAAGTGTTTTTGTACCTCATCAGCTTCTGACATTATGATGGAGTGCAGAGTTTTGATGGCCATGAAGACAACTCCCTCTACGCTGTCATCCATTGCCCAGCGAACTAGGAAGAGAATTCCAGCATTTAGGACTGTCGGCAAAATGGCTGAATTCACTTGATCCTCCAGGTCACCATTTCTTGTCTGACATAAAAATCAAGATTAATATACCAGTACTACTTACTGATGCACATGTATATTAAGTTGCAAAGATAATGACAGTGGAATACTACTTTTAATCATGGGTTGTAATAATTTTTTCTTTATTTATTGTTTTTAGGCAAAATTCATGTCAATTAAACACCTTTACCTTAACTAAAATGTTTCCTAGAGTTTTGAGTGATAGTATTCTCTGCTGAATATTAGTGCTTCTGCATAAAAGAAACAACTCCTCCAGAGAGTAACCAGCCCTCTACAAAGAAAAAAAAAATATCTAAAGTTTTATAAGTATATTGATGTGTAAACAAACAGTACAGGGTTAGGGTTAGGGTTAACCTTAACCCTGACATAAAAGCTAGAAAACTGACCAGTCTGCAAGAGCAAGAGCACCACAAAGGGATATGTCTCTAAGGGTGAGTATGAAGGTAGGAGGATATGAGGGAAAAAAATTAAAAGCAAATTTTAAAATATATTGTAAGAATGTGAAACAACTACTGTAATTATGAATTATATATATCTTACATGAGAAAATGGTGTTATCACCCAACAAACTATAAAAAATATTAACCGTGTTTTCTGTTGTATTTATATGTACATAATGCACTACATGTAATTAAAAAAAGTAATGTCCAGTCAAGCTTTGTTATCTTTAAGTTAATGAGTTGAAAGTACAAATGTTCTAGTTCTTATGACCTCTAACCTCTGGTTCATCTCCATGGTGATGGAGGCCAAACTTGACATCAATGCCTTCATCCACAGTCACCAAATTCCCTTCAAAATCAAACCGAGCAGTTGTTCCTGTCTAAAAATCATTATCAGAACTGTCAAACATATACATGCATTAAAAAAGGGTGATTTTCTCTTTATCACTATGCAGTAAGATAATGCAATATTAAATACTTTTTTTTAAAACATACAGATTGATCTTTGTTTTGTTCCTGATAAAATGTATGAAATATTAAATAATTTGGCTTTATACAGTCAACAATATTATCATTGTAAAACTTGTCTGTACATCTGAGTCTTCTGAGAGTACCTTATTATGATCAGTGGAGGGTGGAGGAAGATCCTTCAACCAAGACAATTTATCATACTCCACTTTATCCATGTGTATCCATTTCCTGTCAGGTTTGATGGGTAAATCCAACTCTTCTGTCTCTTTAAAAACAATATGTGCATCATGTAATTCTGAAAAGCATGAAGACACTATTTTTTTTTTATTTCTTCAAAATCAGATTCCAAAATTTTATGAATTCTAAAATAAGTTAAATTTTGAAAATTCAGATTTTTCCTTTTAAATTTGACCACTAGGAATCAGTGACTAGTCCCTTTTTAAAGTGATTTGTAAAGTGGGATTTCTGTAGTTTTAGAATGGTAAGGTTTTGATATATTCTATTTACTTATTTACAAGTGCAGGGATGTTAACTCTCTTGGGTTATTTGGGAGATTTGAGTGATCACTCAACTAGTTAAGCCTACAAAGTGCACTTTTACAAACCTAGGTAGTAAATTTTTTTGGATACTATGTAAAAATTCAAATGTAAATGTTTATGATTAATATTATTTTAGTGACATCTAAAAATTATTTTGTTAGGAAAATATTTTCCAACAAGAGGCCCATGGACCACAACATTCACATGAACATTCACATTAGTCACCTTGCTCCAGCTGGGCAAAGTTTGGTCGAAATTGGTTCTGTAGTTCTGGAGAAATGAAAATGTGAATAGTTTATAACAAGAAAGAATACACAACAGATACTGGAAAAATTTTGTTCAGGAAATTTCACCTTTTTCTCAAGGGAGCTAAAAACTAATGGAAACAAGTGGCCCTACTGAGAATTTATATACTTTAATAAGGTACTGAGTATGCAACCTCTTTCATTAAACTAAAAACAAATAACAAGCCTCTTTTAAATTACTATATTTAAGTAGTAATGCATGGAATTGAAAATAAAGTACATAAGTACCCTTAGGATTGTGTTTCTTCTCAAACTGTTCTGAATCTGTTGTCTCCATTGTCTCACCTTTATCAGAAGTGTGTGTCTGTTCCCCAGAGGTCTGTTTGTTTCTCTTTGACGTCAGAAAACTCACCAGCTTAGGGTCTGAATCAACGAGACTTAAATTCTTACACAAGGTTTAGTTGTAAAAAACAACCCTTGTCACATGAAAAACATGACTACCTGTAAAATGATGAACACTAAACATTCCAATATTTACATAATTTAAAATCTTAAAATCAAATGCAATAGTTATTTAAACAAAGACAAAGTACCATGGTATTTCTGAAGATTACCTGTGGTGAAAAGATAGGTTTAAAATTATTCTCTTATCTAAAACAAACTATAAAATATGTTATCTTGGTCAATTTCTCTCCACAATCTTTAAAAATGAATGAAACCCCATCAATTCTTGAGATGAACAATTAATATATCTAAGACAAGAGTACCTAGCATTTGTAGGAGCTTATTCTTCTCCTCCAGAATTTCCTCTGAAGTCATGGTGGCCATTTTGTTCACGTTTTCCTGATGAATTTTCTGAGCCTCTTCTTCACCAAAGGTGGCACTCAGTCCAGTTCCTCTGATGATGTGGGGACCACTTTTATTTGAAGACTGAACATGTGTGCTTGCAATCCTCTCTGCCAGTATATATTATGATAATCAAAATAATCAACATTTAATTATTTCAGATTTAAGAATGACATTATGGACAGATGCCAGATGCATAAAACAATATAGCCCACTACATCTTTATTTCTACAACATTCAAAATATATAGAAATAAATGCAAATACTTGTATTGTCATGAAATTAAACTGTGTCTTATTTTTTCCATCAAATACAGTCTCACAAATTTTCAAAATTTATTTTTTAATTACAGTTGAACTCTGGTATCTCGAACACGGATATCTGGAATACCATGGATATGTCGAAGTGATTTGAAAGTCCTAACTGCTTATTCTTTAAGTATTTCACCCTGGATATCTCGAATCTTCAGATATCTTGAAGTTTTTTTCTCTGTCCCATCAAGTTTAAGATAACGAGGTTTGATTGTATATCATCATTGTAACATTATTAAACTTCTTGCTTTAAACACACACATGCATATTTCAAAGTGAAATTATGAAAATCCTGTGTCCATGCTTGAAGCAGTACCTGCTGTATGGGGTTGTATTTGTTTCTCTTTCACCACTAATCCTAATTCACCAAGAGACATCTTGGACATTTGTTGAGCAAACAGACTTCTTGGTTTTTTTGTACCATCTATCTTTTTCTGTGAAGGTAAAAAACCAATCATTTACAAATAAGATTATTCATGTTTACATACATGAGCTTACTGGAGTCTGAGTATTTCCTGTCACTTTATATTTCCAAGGACCATGTTTCATAATTTAAGGCTACAAATGACTTTCCTCCAACATATTTAACAAAATGATTTCACATTTTGGAGCATTTTTTGTACACAATACATTTGATCCATAAGAAATTTAAACAATTTTGAAATATCTTAGTCAACAGTCAATCTGGACCATGTTAAACACTCTTCTTTCTTACTCATTTATAAATCTATATTAAGTAATCAGTAAACAAATTCTTAGTATCTGAGTGATAAAGATTATTAGAATATTTCATATCTATAAAGGCAAATTCTACGCATTTTCAAACTTTATTCAATAAGAGGTAAAACTAACACAAAGTAGATTTTCTACCTGTTCCAAATTTCCTCTATGCATAACCTTAGGGAATCCTGAGGAACACTCCAACACAGAGGTGAATGGCTGCATGTTCTTGGTATCCCTCTCCTGTTGATCAAAACAAAGGTAATAAATGTGGGCTGCGTCAAATTTTATGTGGAAAAGATGGACCATTTATATGAGAATTCATAGGTATATTCTCAAAATGTTTGAAGAAAAGAGAAATAAAATAATAATGTTAAAGTGCTACATGAGCATATGTATCTTTGATAACTTACCACAATTTTGGTAAGCACTGCTGCCATGTGTTTGTCATGCTCTGATTAAAAAAGAAAGAAGAGAAATATATCACATCAACCTCTTTCATACTATTTTATATTATAAAAAAATTATAAATGCATATTCCATCCTATTATATTAAGATATGTATAAATATAAATTGATTAAAATTAAAGAAATAGTCTATGAGACTAAAATGTGAAATAAAAATAATTGTCAGTATAAGCCTGCCAAAACTTACTGTCAATTCTAACTTCTGGATCCTCTCCTTCATTAGTGGTTGCTGTACCATCCCTTGATGCTGAGAACCTACTCTTCTTGTGAGGAATCCTAGGTCCTCCATGATCAAATTCAGGTTTAGTGGATGGAAGTTCTTTAGAAAAAAAAAAATCATTTAACATGTTAAATATTGTCATGATGTCATTCACTTACAGTGTATATCCTTCGGCTTTTTCATTTTCAAATGTGTCGTAAGATACAATTATTTTGTTTTCTTTCTCTCTCTGTGACCTGGGAACGTTCACAACACCAGCTTGGTAGAAGCTCTGTAATCATCTCAAACTTCAAGTAATTATTTAATGTACAAATCTTTAAAATTTAGAGGGTATGTGATGTACTAATCTGCTTACTACCTTCAATTAAAGAATTTACATTGATATGCTAACAACATTTACAGAGAAATACAATAACTGAGACTTGTGATCATGATGAAGCTAACTGTCATGATTAAGTCAGATGCAAAATGAGAGTCCAATGAATGAGAGCAAGTTTTAAACCAGAAATATGGTTTTTATTTTTTCAGATGTTAAATATTTCATCTCTCGATCTTTAAAATACACATGTACAAATATTCACAACAGAGACAAATGTAGGAATTTAGACTGGACTGAGGACATCGGCCTGGATAGCTCAGTGGTTAGAGCACCTGACTAGTAATGCAGGGGTCCCGGGTTTGATTTCCGGTCCAGCCTTATGTTTTTATTATATATATATTTATGAATTTTCAATGTATATTAACTCATTCCTCCTTTCCATACTACAGATGGTGCCGTGGCCTACCTTGTTCAGGCAATATAATATATAATATATAATATATAATTAATGTTAAATCCTGACAAGGTGAACTTGTGTTGTGTCTTCGGGGAAGAAGACTATTTAAGGAGGGAGGAATATAGGAATTTAGGCTGGACTGAGGACATCGGCCTGGATAGCTCAGTGGTTAGAGCACCTGACTAGTAATGCAGGGGTCCCAGGTTCGATTCCCGGTCCAGTCTTATGTTTTTCATTATATATATATTTATGAATTTTCAATGTATATTGACTCATTCCTCCTTTCCATACTACATGTAGCAATGCATTGATGCCAAATGCTGCTGCTTTATCTGATTTTCTTAGAATATTGTGTTTAAAAGCTTTATACCTTATCTAACCAGATATTGGTGAATTCAGAGTAAGCTCAGTTGGTCTTACAGTAGGAGTGTAGCATGATGCCACAGGTACTTGGGTCTTGGTTTATAAATATGTATGTACCTTATTGATATGTAAAAATACCTTCTTTTTTTTTTTTTACATATCAATAAGGTACATACATATTTATAAACCAAGACCCAAGTACCTGTGTAAGACTCAAGTACTGTACCTGTGCATGATGCTGCAACAGACCACAGAAACATAATTCAAACTTTATTTTTTTTAAACAATTTTTGCTATGATATTTAATCTATAATTAATTACCATTGATATCAACTATATCCTTTTCACTAAAGTCAGCTGCTTGGGAAGTCTTTCTTTTATCTGGTTTCTTTACAAGGCTAGCAGCACTCTTTTCTTGTTTGGCAAGGAATTCCTGTTGAAACCTCAATAAGTCATCCTCCGATTCCCCAGGTTTTGGGCGTGGTATCATTCCGTTAATTTGCCACCTTTTTATTAAAAATGCTCAGTGAAATTTTATTTAAGAGCTCCAATAAGCCCGCGCCCGATTGCAAATGTCCATGGGCGCAGCCATTTTAAAAATCCCCGGATATCGAAACAAAGATTAACGAAAGTATGCCGTGCAAATTTTATTCTGAAAATTTTTTTAACAGTGATGTACCATAATCTTTTAAGTTCTATGGAAAAAAAACAGGGATAACAGGGGGAAAATATGCTATTTAATATAAGTTACTATCGAATCGCTATTTCTTTAAATATTCACAATGTTTGTCTTTCCAAAGTACGATCTTACCTTACTATCCCGCTTACTTCCGGTGTTTCTATAGAGACGTTTACATATTGAAAAGGTAAGGTCCACAAATTTTGTTACCAACAATTTTGTACTATATTTGGATACACCAATATTCAATTTTTTTCTGATGCGATTTTAGTATGTTGGTATTTGAATATCCTTTGAAAAGTTTTCAATAATATTTATAAAAAGTGTTATAGAATCTTTATTTTTCATTGAAACTACAGGTTTCAAACAGTCCAACCTTCATTATGAAAGGAAACAGGGTTTTTTGTGTGCTATATATATATTAAACATGATTATTATAATAAATTCAATTACCTTTTTAAGTGAATTTTGGATGATAAAGTTCAGTATCTGCACAAAAGTATTGTATTTGATCTATTCCTGTTATATTTGCTCCAGAACTGTAGCTCTCTGGTTGAGAAAATTTGGACAAAAAATAGAGAGCTACTAATCAATGCATTGTAAAAACCTTCGATTTATGGCGATTCTTTTTTGTCACTGGCTTTGGGTATTATTTCTTATATTATATGCGTTTCCCAACTTAAAGGATTATATTATTTCATTAACCATATTCCTGATATTTCATTTACCTTTCAATGCTTACAAACAGCCCTGTATGGGTTTGAATGTCAGCTTTCAAAATTCGCATTCTGGCGTCCATATGGTGGGGACATGCTAAAATAATGCACCCTAAAGGTAAATAAAGTATCAGGAATAGGAGTAAAATATATGGTTGATAACAGATACCATACTTTAAGCAGAAGAATGCATATAATACAAGAAATAATATCCCCAGTGAGTGACAAAAAAGTGTTGCCATAAATCCAAGGTTTTTACAATGCTTGTAACTGTAGCTCTCTGGTTCATCTGATTGAATTTTCTTAACCAGAGAGCTACAGTTCTGCAGCTACTGTCATATGTGAATATTTACTTCACTCATGAAGTAGTGTAGAGTAGAAACTTATCCTAGATAGAATGTTCTAAGACTATTGTTAAAATAATATTGTCCTATGGACCCAACTTAACATGTAGCAATTTACAGAAATATAGCCTCCATTTTTCTTAGTAAGACTCCTTTGTTTGCCGTGTTCAAGTATTTTAATTGGGCTTACTTGATATTATTGACAGATTAAAAGAACATTTAATAAAAATGGCTGATCAAACTGAACAAGGGCCGGCAGTGGATGATGATAATAAGAGTACCAAAAGTGGGCCAAAAAGTCAAGCTGGATCAAAGCCAGTATCTAGAACAGGATCTGCACAGTCTGGAAAAAGTGGCAAAAGTGGAGGAAGCAAGAAGGCTGGGGATGCCCCTGTTCCTCCCTCTCCCACAGGGTCTGCCAAAGATAACCCAGCTGCTGACTGGAGGACCATGAGAAGAATCATTGCAGAGGACCCTGAATATTCTCTAGCAACAGTTCCCAGACTTATAGAGTTATGCATTTCACACATTGTGTCCAATTTTGAGAGTAAGTACCATTTTATGGTAATGCATATTACCTAAATGATTAGATACATTTAAACAATTTAGGTTAATTCAAAAAAAAAAAAAATAAGGGGCCTTTTTAGCATTAATATTTAACCAATAATTTTACTTTACAGATAATTCAACAATCCTGAACAATCTTCTACCAAAACACAAGTCGATAGTCTTAGAGAAGATATCAACAGACTTACCACTAAAGATCACAGCTAACCTTGTTGAGGATGAAGGTTACTGGAAACGATGCTGCAAAGCTCGCTGGCAAATCTGTGATGTAGCATCATTTGGCAACAATTGGAAGCGAATGTACTTTGAAAGAAACCTCCAACAAATCATTGAACACTTTGTCCCAGAATCAACAGATATGACAGAACTAAATGAGACTCTACCATTATCTGCCAATTATGTCAAGAGACTAGATGTCCGACAGCTCCTTCCACCAGTAAGGGAGGCCCCAAAAGGTCCAGATTTTGATGATGCTTCAGATGCCGGAAGTGAGGCTGGAGATGAACCAGAGTGTGATCATTTTAATTTTGGGCCAATTTTAAAACAGCTGCCAAATATAGAAGAACTACATTTAACATATGGAGTGAAAGACTGTGGTATGAATTTTGAATGGAACCTGTTTAATTTTACTGCTAGAGACTGTTTGCTTTTAGCTCAGTGTGTGGCTGCTACAAAGGGACTCAAGGTTTTTAGGCTTCATAGAAGTAAAGTAGATGATGACAAAGTTCGAGTGCTGATCAGTCATATTCTGGACCACCCCGGTCTGACAGAATTAGACCTTTCACATAATGTGATCAGTGACCGTGGTGCCAGAGCTATAGGGAAGTTCCTCAACAATCACAGTCAACTCGTGAAGCTGAACCTCTGTGATAATGATGTCAGGCACAGTGGAGCCCAGGCCATTGCCCATGCTCTGACCAAAAACACAACATTGACAGATTTGAACATTCGACTTAATCGATTAGGAGATGAGGGAGGGCAGGCAATCTGTAAAGCTTTGCTGAAGAACACAACTCTCTGCAATATTAACATGGCTAGCAGTGACCTAGGAGAACCCACAGCTGCTATCTTCTCTCAGGTCGTCATGCAGAATACAACCCTCAAATCAGTGGACCTGGCATCCAACAGACTTGGTGCAGTATGTAGTTTGTATTAATATTTGTAATGTCATGATTTATTAAAAAAATTCAGATTTCTGTCTGTCATTTTGATGTAGTAATACAAATGTAGTATTTGATATAGAAATATTCACTATTTGTATGCTTAGAACAAATCAAAAATGCCAGATTTATCAAATTAGAGGACAAAAAACAAATTGAATCTTATTTTAATTACCTCTGTTTTATTCATTATTTTTTCTTATCTAACATATGACAGATTTTGAAAAACTTATAGATTCCTTAAAAATATATTTCCTTTCTAACTTATTAGGAAGGTGGGAAGCAAATTCAAGAGGGAATGGAGGACAACACCACTATCACTCACATGGATCTTAGACTAACCGATTCTGGACAAGAAGCCGAGTACTGCATAAACCAGATTCTACACAGGAACCAGGAGAGAGAGAGGGAGAGCAAGATTTCTGAACCCCCACCTCCCTCAAAGAAAATTCTGCCTCAGGCTGCCCACAGGTTCAAGTCAACAAAGGCTTGAGCAAGAAACTGAAATTTGGTGTGAGGCAAAAAAAAAACCCAAAACTTGTTTATTATCAAAATTATTACCAGGTAGAAAATGCTGTTAAAGACAGAGATAATGTTATGTTTAATATAAAAATAATACACTACTGTTATCTGTGACATGTGCTACACTGAAATGTTTGATTAATATTGAAATATAAATAGTGTTTTTGTTTCTTTTATTGATATCATTGGCTAGAATTATGTACACTTATTAGGTTGAGGCTATCTGGTACCACTTGCAAGGGGGGGGGGGGGGGGGCATAAGTTATACATTTATTAACATTTATTTTAATGAAGGTAGAGATAAAATGGAGGTCTCTGAGAAATTTGAGTATGCAAATGTATTGGAATCTTTTAAATGTATGGAACATACATGTATCATTAAAGTTCTAATGAATAAAGCATTATATTCTATAAAATGCAATAAGGGTATTAACCACTCTTGACTGTATGTTTAACAGCTGATATTAGTCGTTCCTTTGTATTTGACACTGGTGTTTTCACTTTAAAAGCGTAGGTACTGGCTAAAAACATTCTTTTAATTTTTTAACACTACTGTATCCATAAATTACTCTGTTATGGCATGCCCAACACGTTTATAATAAGTTAATGAATGCTTTACCAGTGCTCCAGTAAACTTTTCAAGGAAAAAAAACGTGTTTCGATCATAAACCAAGGGAGGAATGGGGGGGGGGGGGAGTCAGGGCAACTCCCATCCCCTAAGAAGTTTTTTTTTTTTAAAATACGCTGAAAATGTAATTGGGAAATTCCTCATCTGGAGAAAAGAACCATCTTAAAATGCTAGGAAAAGTTAGATAAGTAGGAAAAACGAATACTGTCAGTGCTTGAGCATAAACCTCTCTGCCCCCCCCCCCTTTCCCCAAGCATCAAAAATAATTTCTTTTCAGATTACCTCATTCTATTCTCCCAGGACACATAAAATAGATATTTCCATCCCTTTCACCTCCTCCATTTTTTTTTAATTTTTCGTTGCCAAAAATAAAATTAGATATTTTTTTGACTGGAAATGAACACCCCTCTTGGGAAAAAAAATCAATTTAAATTAATCGTCCCGATTAGCAAATTGCAATAAAACACGAAAAAATCTTGCATATAACGTTTATTTATTTTCATCTATTAAAATATCACATGTCTATGAAATATTATACGTGTTAATCATGTATATAACAACAATAGAAAATATAAATTATAAACTAAAGGGAGATCACTATTAGCTCCAACACAAACTGCTGGAGAGCATCACGTGATCATATTGTAAAATGGGTCATTTGTGTGTTTGGCTTTTTTTCTTTCCTCCTTTTTCTTTTTCAAAAGATAGTAAACATGTATTTATTTGGCACACGATTCATTATGAACTCATATCGTTTGGGTTCATGTGTAAATATGTACACTCATTATAGTTGTGCATTATTCAGAAATGTTATTAGTGCAGTGAAAAACCTAGAAAAAGACGCTTATTTTTCGAGTTTAATGCACCGACATACCCTACGACTGAAAGTTATATTTTATAAAAGAGACATCCCTTCCCATGCATTTTCGCCCGCTCATAGAGTTTTCTCGAGTCAAACTTTTTTTAATTGCGAATAAAAGTGAAAGGGGGGGGGGTTAGTATATTTTGCCTGCCGATATTATTCTTCACAAGTTAACATTTGAATTACATATAAAAAGTAAATCTTTGCACGCAATAGGATACTTATAGCTATCTAAGTTAATATTGTCAAATTAATTATGAATATTATTGTTTGTTTTTGTTTTTTTTAAGAGATTGCGTGTTTCAACAAAATACATTCCATGTAGTTACATATTGTAATAAATTACGAACATTTACCTAAATATTTTAAAGATATTTATTCAAACGATGTTTTACGATCATATTATACCTATGGATATCTTCACACTAAGTTTTTTTTATTCTCCTTGATTTGAATTTTAAAGGTTTTATGTAACCGGAAACGAATTATAGAATCCCAGCACAACCTGTGATAATGTTACCGATTGATAACCGATCAAAATATTGTTAAACATATCAAATTGTCTTTTTCTCTTAATCAAAAAAAGGTTTTAAAAAATTTAATTATATTCACCTTAAATTAAAAAGACAAAATTTAAATCTAAATGTACGCTCGAACGAAAGCACTCAATTTCCGCAGAAAATATGCAAATTTTGACAAACTTTCAAATTTTCTCCTTAAGACGCGAAATGAAATCTGGATTTCAATCTATAAGCATTTGAATGTAATTATTCTGTTTTATTTCTCAATTAAAGAAGACGTAAAGGTCAAGCGTGTTACTTTCATTTCATGTTTCTATTTGAGCAGTGTCTTGCATGATTAGAGATTGCTTTTCTGCATCGTAAGCAATGCAAATGCGATGCTAAGTTGTATGAAATAGAAAGAGAAAAACGATATAAAGTGTTATTGACAATTCACAAAAAATGTAGGAAATATTTGAGTATATTATTGGAAGGACTATATATCATAAAGATCATGCATCTCTTATTTTACTTCCTCTTGAAAAGTGGTGGTGGTGAGGGGGGGGGGGGGGTGTACACATATACATAAAAGTGATTGAGGTATCTGGCCATCAGTATATCCGGCACACTCCGGGTGGACAGCACTTATCCGCAATTCCTCTTGCAAATTTATGATATTTAATATAAAATCTTTAATATAAACTGCCTTATAATAAGGACCTGTTATTTTACGTTTCCATCGGAATCGGAGTTTCCCAGTACCCATCTTTTATTCTGAATCCTCCTATACATTTGAATAAAATTTTATTAGATTTTCACATATTTAATCTTTATTTTAAACCGTTGTGTTGTGCACTTTTAATTTTACGTCTTGATCTGAAAGATATTTGGGATTTCTTATATCAAAACATGGACTTTGTCATTATTCTTGTCAAAGGGGGTATCCATTTTATTAACGCAGTTCCTTCTTAAGCCCCGAATGAATATCGATGGTATTTTTAAAGAATCACCTTCAACCGGACAAAACTCCTATTGGAGCGGGAGTATCATTTTATGAGCTCAATCAAGTTTCTATTCTCAAAGGCGTGTGCCCCCCCCCCCCCTCCCCCGTTTGATTTTTTTTTAATATTTTGTTTGTATTATCCTAAAGTCAAGGGAAAACACCTCTTATTTGTTAGAATTCGTCAGTTTCAGGGGGCTTCGCCCCCGTACCCCCACCAGGACTTTGCCCTGGAACCGCTAGGGGCTTCGATGCAGCCCCCAGACCCCCCTGACTTCCCCTCGTTATGAAATTCCTGGATCCGCCACTGATTCTGCTTTTCAAATGAAACATATTCTTGTAAAGTGATGTAGTAGTGAACAAGATAGAGGAATTACAGCTCTAACAAATGCATATCGTCAATAATATGAAAATGCTTTCTTTGTTCCGTTTCATAGAATTGCTACCATATCACTGATACAAGTCCAAAATCTTTCTGCTCCTAAATCCTCACAACCGAGTATATAACAGGCAGAATTTACGAGTCTCATCAGATTATCATAACCTTTCGATACATAGACAAGAATTAGTAATATTTTTTTTTTGGAAATTGTATGAGGGAGACGAAAAATATTAAGAGTTTTAGCACTAGGTTGGCTCTTGTGACAACAGGTGTGACCCCTTAAAGAACCCTATATGTCCAAAGGACATATGCGCCGAGCATAAACCTGTATAAACCCTTGATAAAACTGCTTTCATATTCATGAAGTTGTTTAAGGAATTTATAATTATAAACAAAACAAAAAAAGTTAATTATTATGCTGTAACGTGTATGACGTCATATTGATGATAAATATACTTCAGGAACAGAAAATGTCTTTTTAGAATTCAATAACTAGTATTCAAAATTATTGATGTTTAACGTTTAAATAAAAATATTACTTCAAAGCAACAAAACTCAAAATTTAGTCATATTTCGTATTTTGGGGGTTGGGGTGAAAGGGGGGGGGGGGTATTGTCCTTTTCTGATTTCCTAATTACTGTTTATACTTGCACCTGTCTTAATATTGCCTGATTGTACTTTATGAACAAAAAACCTGTACATCAGCACTGAATTAAATCTACTCCAAGACAATTAATTTTACGGACAGACAGACGGGCATTATAGTTAAAATTTTACTTTTCTTTGAAATAGATATTTTCACTGAAAATTCAATTTTCCATACAAATTTATTGCAAAATCCGAGAAAATTTATGAATTCCTAAAGCTTTTTTAAACATGTTCATTATTATGGTCAGATTTCAATCATTGATCTTTAACCTCCTATTATTTTAAATTTTGACCATAGAATTTTCTACGACCGGACGAAAATAATTGCTTTATAATATACCTTTCCAAAAAAGTACAAATTAGCCGTAGGGTAGGGTGGTGCATTAATTTCAAAATTTTGATGGTCTTGTAACTCCACTATATAGCACGAAAAGCGCTGAAATAAACCCTAAAAGGGTCAAATAGAGAGAGATACAGAGGAGGGACTGCAGCAGTGACTCGTTGCAAGTTAATTAGGTTTAAGTAAGCTTTCAATGTTTGATATATATCTAAATTTAAAATAGACGTTTTCAATATGTCAATGCGTAAAAAAGAAAAGAATATTGAAATGTGCTTGGAAGATGAATTGGAATTCCCGAAAGACAAAATATATACACTATGACTGGAATAAAATGTCTCTTTTTACTGTTTTTCCAATTCGATATCCGATTCCTGTTCCTTACTGTGTGGATCCCAACAGAGCGCGAACATTTGTGAGCAAGCTGCTAAAGTAAACAAAATCCCTGCAAGTCCATTAACGGTTTCGTAATTTCCCGTCATTTCCAGTAGAGCTCCTATATTAAAAAAAAATGAATGTACATGTATACATGAAAAAATTGGAAATGAATCAAAGATTAAACAATCATTCAGTGACCCCCCCCCCCCCACCTTTCCCTTTTTTCTGGAGTAATCGACTCAAAAATTCAAACATCGATATCGTCATGCACCTCTCCATATAACGTCATTGACTTCTGCGCAGTGGTTAGACAAGGTAATGAAAAGTTCTTGGTTACTCTGCTGCAATTTTTTTCTTCTTGGCTATAATCTGACTACCGATAATCTGACTATTTTGATTTTTCTTTAAATCTGACAATCTGAAAAGAATCTGATAATACTTTGCCACACTAAAATTCCTTCTTGCTTCTATATCTCTCCAATTTGACTTTAACACAGTTTTCTATGTATCAATAATCAATGGAGGAATCGCCATTTTAAGGGGTTTCACTGTGGAAAGGGGCGGGGGGCTCTCTCCATTAAAATTCAGACCAACCAACCTGCCATAGGAGATCCAATGAAGGCAGCTGGACCTTTCAACATGGTTACAAAACCATAGCCAGCAGTCAGCTGCTCCAAACCAAGGTAATCCATGATCATTAAAGGTTGCATCGGGGGGAAAAATCCTGTAAAACAAATATATGAAAATGATTAATTTAAGAAATAACGTAGTAAAAATTTTGCAAAGTTCTTAATTTATCATCTACTTCATATAGGCTGATAGGCGCTCCCCATCTGATTTCGGAAATATTCGGAAAGTATATATGTATAGGTCTACCCCTCTATACTAAGGGTAGACTGTAGTTATTTCGCTATATACGAAATTAGATGGGGAGCGCCTATGATCTACTCATATTGATGATAGTCATTTTACATGTATATATAATATATTTACATCCACTAAATATTATTTCCTTTATATGTTATGAAAACCACGGTCGTTTATCAATACTTTATAACACAGCTAAGCGATTTCTTGAGCAGTGGATTTTCCGTCAATGAAATATACGTACACATCAATAATACAATATTTAACGTATTTAATCCTACCTTATATAATTATTTATACAGACTACGGCTATAAACCTTGTCGCTATTGCAGAAAACAAATTTACATAAACCCTCCCGCGGGTTATCTATTTTTTCTGCAACAGCTGCAACATTAATTCCCATACTAACAACCAAAAAAGCAATTTATTGTTTAAAATGAAAACTTTTAATATATACCTAGGAAGAACCCATATGCAATGGCAAATCCCATCAAGGCACCCACAGTTTTACAGAGGAAGAACAGAAAACAGGCACCAGCACTTAATATCAAACCAATGTTACAGATGTTTAGGTGACCAAGACATCGGGTATTAGCAATTAACCCGGCGAACAAACGACCAATTGTATTAGCCACACCTAACAAATAAACCAGAGGATTCCACACAAAATAAAGCAATTTTGTATCTTCTCTTTTTTGACAACTCTACATCTATTTTTTAATAGTTGCTTACTTACCAAATGTGGACAGAACGAGGCTGATATCAGCTGACGTCACACCAACGTGATTCCCGTAATCACCTATGAATACCAATGGGATAGCCTGTCCCATCTGGGTCAGTAGACAACCAATGGTTAAAAATATGAAGGGCCTACTTGAGCAGAAAGCTGGCAGTGCGCAAGTCTTAGAATATTGTATTTTTTCTCCGTTTTCAGATTCTCTGACCTCTACTAGAGCCCCAATATTAAAGGATCCTTTAGTGATTGAATGATTACTTCCAAAAAGAACAGGAAGACTTAAAGTACCAGAACTGCCAAACAACAAATTATCACTTCTGTTCAAAAACGGCAAGGAGGCGTATCTAGTATCGTCATTCTCAGTTCCATTTGCTACAGTATTTGAAAAGGTAGACATCGGTTTAATTTCCTTCCTCTTTTTCATTTTCCTTATGGGCCTCATTAGAGATGCACAAACGCACAACTGTACAGTAAAACAGGCGTAGATAAGAAGAGATCCTCGCCATCCAAAGGCATCTATTGACTTCTCTATGACCGGAGACATTACTAGTAGACCAAGTCCTGCACCGGAGGCCAATATTCCATTGGCAAGAGAACGTTTTCGATCAAAATACTGATTAACGATCATTATGGATGGCAAGAAAACCATCCCAACACCCAAGCCTGAAAATGAATGAAAGGAAGAATAGGATTAACGGGTTTAACAGATAATGGCGTCCACGTGAAGCTGAGTAGATTCTTGTGAAAACAAGTACAGGTTTGAATAGTTGGTGGTGGTCACTCCCTTGTCCACATCGGTTTTCTCCGGGTACATCCTGCCTCTATTGATTCTGTTGCACCAATGAAAGACATTCATATAAATTACACTGTAGAATAAAATTTGTTTCTCGTTTATTATAAAGAAATATTAACAGTTTCATTGTTTTACTGTTTTACAGAAATATCTTACCGCACAGCAGTCCATAAGTAAGGAATAAAAACGAGATGCTTGGAGCGAAAAAGCTCAAGAGAAGTCCCAGTGTGTAAATCCATGCACCACAGAACGTCACAACCCGTGTTCCATATCTCTCAATCAAGCAGCTCGTGAAGAAACCTATTAACAATTAAATTTTAATGTAATGTATATTAATAAATAGTTTTGTGCGACTGAAAGTATATATTTAAGGAAATTGTTCGTTGAATTTTTTATTCACCTGACTTTGGAATCGCAGTTAACATGCATATATTTAGTTCCAAGTGAGTCGAAAAAGAATGTTTACAGCAAAGAAAACCCAAGAGTTGACACATTATCTCCCCCCCCCCCCCAAGTCGATTTAAGTATTTTTTTGAAGATATTTCTAAAGTATATGACCAGAAAACATGGTTAATTGCACAAATCGTATTCAATATAATGCAAAACCTTTTCACTAACTTATAATCAAAAATATGCCAATAAGGGTGGAGTTCAGCATTGACGTCACTGCGGCGGTCGATTTGAATTCCTCCATTAAAATGGGCAGCAACAAGCCAAAAGAACCGTTTAGTCCTTCTATACAAAACATGCTGTAGAAACTACAAGCCAAAATCACCCAGGCATAACCTCCATCTGGTGCTTGAAGAGTGACTTCATTGAGGTCCTCCAACACAGATTTGTCTTTCCTTTGGGTAAACCCATTTGCTTTAGAGTTTGGAGATACTTGCTGCTGTAGCAGATCTCTTTTTTCAATAAAAGCTTCACACTTCATGTCCACTGGAAAAAAAAAATCGTGTACGCTGTACAATCATCATGTATTGTTGTTATACTATGCATTGAACATCTGGCGTTATAAATATGAATTGATGTAAAAATATACGTGAAATGGCCATGCAATGGAAGAACAGTCTAAAACCTAGTGCACTTATTAGATATCTTTAGCACCAAAAGTAATCCTAATTTTTGTCTGGCCTTGTTTTGGACTGACACCACAACTTTGTTATGACCTCCAAAAAGTGGCCTGGTCTCAATTGATCCTTGCAAAGCCTTTGGTTATTGATTCTAATTAAATTGCAAGTTCGTTCACTTTTTTCTCTATATAAATAAAATCTTTTATAAATGATTTTGAAGGTAAAATAAAGAGGAATTTCTATCATTCATGTAAAATTATATGCAAGTTGATTTTGACACAAAGGGAGGAAATTTTGATATTTTAGTTTCCAATTTAAAACTAAAAAGTTCGTCATTTAAAATTTTGTTAAAAAATGCAAAAAAAAAAAAAACTTGTATACTTTGATTTTTTTCAGAAAATTGATAAATAATTATAGCATAACTTGAAGTATCAATTCAAATGGTGGAATGCCTAGAATTAATACATAAAATCGATTGAAAAAAAGCCAACAAGAACTAAAAGAAAATCAAGGTTGCCGAAACTCATGCCAGAGGTCAAAGTTGAAAGCACACCAGTCTTGACAAGAAGTAGTATATATATATATATATATATATATATATATATATATATATATATATATATATATATATATATATATATATATATATATATATATATATATATATATACAGTGAAGAGATACCATATCAATAATATTGCTCACTTACTAAAATAGATCATTCAATATACAACTGTAAATGTTTTGAATTGGGAAAATCTGTTCGGGTTTGATTGACCATTGGTATAATTTTTTTCAATAATTTATCACAGAAAAAGGGAGCAATAAACTACCCTCAGCGACTGAGGAAAAGACTCGGAATTTCTTCATACGATATTGATTCAAGGGAGACACGAATAAATGACCAATATAATGCATAAACGTCAGGTCGGGAAAATAAGATTTCAAGTCGGGAAATAAGATTCCAATTGGCAAAATATACGTACCAGCTTTATCCCCCGAAAGAACCACATATTAAATCATGATTCATTATTTTTCACAGCAAGAAAATCATATACAAAGCTTAAGGGTTTTTACACATGATTTACTTTGAAGTCACAAGCGGTTGTTTCAGTTCATGAGCCGTAAAGGTCATCCTAAAGTACCACGCTCCTTCAAACACTAGAAAGAATTGCATAGTCATCGAGTACACCAGATTTTGCAGGAGGTGCAACAATCTTTCGGAAAGTGATCGATACACACACACACATACAGAGAGAGAGAGAGAGAGAGAGAGAGAGAGAGATGGATGTGGCACACTATCTAGCCCAAAGAAAGCACTTTATAGGTATTCCAAAAATTGAAAACGAGTCCCCACTTTACTAAATGATAATCATTTCATTTAAACAGTATTAAACATGTATTATACATTAAAAGTATTTTTACACTACTTATTATATTTACTGCATCAATAATCAGAGTTGAATGCATATATTTTTTACGACCATTTAGTAAATGGTCGTAAAAAGATCGTTTCTCATGCATATAATGTACATGTATAACAATGTATTTCATTGAGCTCGTGTGAGGATCAGTAAAAACACTTTGGTCTACCTGGAACAAAGGGGAATGTATAAAACTATCTACAGTCCTATTTGAATATATATAATAATGTCATGTCACCTTGCATAACAAGAATCATACAACCTCGCAATATATATCGCTTTTCATCAATTGCACATTACAAGTTACATGTAATAAATTGTAATAAATACTTCATAGATATAAAGGCAATTAAAAAGTAAACAGAAATTATTAATGCACAGCAGGTAAAACATCACCAGGATTAAGGCACCTTCATATTCTTAATAATAGATTGAGTTTTTATATGTAGAGCTCGGCTTACCAAACAAAGAAGAGAAAAATTCCTTACCTGTTCATTCTTCTCAGTATAGCGTTTATATTCGGCACGTACACTTCCATGAACCTTGAAAATCGATAGGAATTTATACACAACTATTTTGAGAATCGGTATTGTAATCAATGAGTGAACTTATTTTTCCACACAGATATCGAGCACCGAGTAATCTTTCCATGTTTGGTTTTTGGTATTGGGTCATGTAGAATTTAGCTAGAAAGTTATCAACGGATTTTGAAAACGGTAATGAACCTGAATCATGTGATTATATTTCCATACGCCAAAAGATCTAAAATAACACAATGACTGCAACAGAGCACAAATTCCTTAAGTCTTTGATGAGATTGTAGCTCTATAGAAGAGAAACCAGAAAATTGAAAGAAAAAAAAAAAAAGAAAAAAAAATTAAAAACTTTGACAAGGAAAGAAAGTGTATGCGAGTCATTAACAACAGTAAATATGATGATGATTGATTAAACAGTTATTTATTAGTATTATTACCAATCATTTACTCTGTTTTACCATACTATTTAATTGTGGTTCAACGAAAAAGCCTATCCGCCCCTTCAAAATCGGCTCATGATTCTGGGTTGTATTCACATTGTAAAATTAAGCCCCTTCCTCACACGAGATTTACCACCCGATAAAAAATCTCTACCTTTAATAAAGCCAATAATTGAATGACTTTAGACAATTGAAAGGATATTCTTCTGAGCCTTTTTATTTTTTGGATAAATGGGCACCATTTTAGTGAGATCTGGTGCGTTCCTAAAATAAATCTATCAATATTAAATTTAAAAAAATGTAGAAACATTACTTTCAACAGATAATAAATGAATATAATTTGTGTCAAAATTGATATTTTCGAGTGTTTGTTTTTAAAGGGGGTGCAATCGCACCCATGGTACTCCCCCGATTCCGATGGCCTTTGACAGACACTTGAACGATGCATAAATTTTCCTGTCTTCGACCAGTAGAGCTAAAAATTGAAGGTCATTAAAAATCCCAAAGAACCACAATTCATTTGAAGTTGAATGGCACTTCAGGGAATTTAGTACCGCCTACAGTAAGCCTATAAAAACTTGAGAGAAAATAATTGTACTGCGCAGCTAGTCCTGGGATCTAACAACAGTACGCTATATCGTCACCTTCCTGGTTAAGGGCGGATTCATGATATCCAGCACGGGGGGGGGGGGGGGGGGGACTTAAAAAAATAAATGACAACAAAAACTCTTAATACTTGTGGTTATTATGAGTTTATCACAAAGGTATTACCGATATTTTCTTAATTTTATTGGGTGGGGTGGGGGTGGGGGGTTACCCCTCTCTCTTTACATGTATTTGCCACTGGTTGCCTCTTTTCTAATCATTCTGCTATCCCTTCAATACTCTATTCCTCTACAAACAGTACTAAATTGATATAGGGGTAACCTTTCATACTTCATTGATGGAAGTTATATTTTGTGAATCAGTGACTCCCACAACAAAAGTTTAGCTTCCTCTACACCAACACAGACATTACTCCTGCATTATCATGAATTTTTATAATTGAGAGACACACGATACCGAACCAATGTTTGTCTGTTTCTATAAATGGAGATCTTCCCTAATGTAAAAAAGAATCACTAGGCCCATTCAGATTTTTGACCATATTGGTTCTATTTTTATATTATGCCAATTTTTTTTATGTACCAACATCAGAATGATCAAATCTTTAATCAAAAAAGAAAAATTGTGCAGTGATTTTTTTTCTTTAGAAATAATATAAAGGCAGGCCTCCTTGAAAACAATAAATATTAAGACTAGAAATCCGACAATGGTCAAATCTATACATAGAAGAGTTATTTCAAATGCTAATACATGTGCATGTACTTACATGTATCTTGTTATATTTATGCTACAATTAATTACCAATATAAACAAATTAAAAAAATAAAGCCAAATAACCTTGCCAGATAGAGAGAGAGAGAGAGAGAGCAAAAATATACAAACTGATGGCAAAGAATCTCCAAGTGACAATTTGTTGAGCCTTTACAAACAACTTTGTTACAAGGTCAAAGAAATACAAGGATAATACAAGCTAAGCTGACCTGGCCTAATTTAGTGACAAACAAGGTTCCTCTAAAGATTCCAGAAACATTATCAAGTACATTCTAAAATATATTAAAAACTGAAGATGCATAGTTACTGTGCAGGCATAAAGAGTGCTTATGAGGCACCTACCAGTGAAAGAGAACCTTTCCTTTTTTAGATCAGTAATATTGATTACACTTGTTGCACATTACAGCAAAAGGGTTTATTTTCACTGTTGCTCTGTAAGACTATAGCCTTCCTGTACACACCCTCCTTAATTTTTCCTAACAATCTGACTGATTGAATGCCCATTTAGATACCTTACTAATAACATAATAATTTTTAACCAAACTTGAAAATATTCTATATCCTGCATCTAAAAGTTGCAATTACTATAATATGCAAGTACATGTACAATCATAAAAAAGAATTGCCCCTTGCCCAGATCAAAGTTTGGGAACTATGTTTTGATATTAAAAGATGAACAGGAAATGGCATAATTATATAATTCTTTCATCATTGTAAGAAATAAAATAGAATTTTAAAGAGTTAATCAAAGAATTTTAAATTTTACTTCAATAAAAAGTGTGAAAATGACAGCCAAAAAAAAAAAACATCAACAACAACATTGATAAAGTGAAGTAACAATAAAATCAAACGTTTTGATATCCATGAATCATAAAGTACAGAGTACAAGTGGAGAGTTTAATAACCCTAGGACAAAGTGGCTAATGTCTAGTTAATATTATAGGGTCTAAACATGGGAGGATATTTGCAATCATCATTTATAAAGCCATGTGTAACTTTTTTAGCAACCAAAGACCTTGGTTATATCAGAATAATTTAAAAATGTGAATACATTTGCTATCACTTCCATTTCACTTGCTATTGTGGTGTCCTTATTTGCTATCACTTCCATTTCACTTGGTATTGTGGTGTCCTTATTTGCTATCACTTCCATTTCACTTGCTATTGTGGTGTCCTTATTTGTTATCACTTCCATTTCACTTGGTATTGTGGTGTCCTTATTTGCTATCACTTCCATTTCACTTGCTATTGTGGTGTCCTTATTTGCTATCACTTCCATTTCACTTGCTATTGTGGTGTCCTTATTTGCTATTACTTCTCAGTCAATGGTATTGTGGTTTCCCTGTTTGCTATCATTTCTCTATCACTTGGTATTGTGCTGTCCCTATTTTCTATCACATCTCAATCATTTGGTATTGTGGTGTCCTTATTTGTTATTATTTGTCATTCAATCATTTGGTATTGTGGTGTCTTTATTTGCTATCACTTCTCAATCACTTGATATTGTGGTGTCCTTATTTGCTATCACTTCTCAATCACTTTGTATTGTGGTGTCCTTATTTGCTATCACTTCCATTTCACTTGCTATTGTGGTGTCCTTATTTGCTATCACTTCCATTTCACTTACTATTGTGGTGTCCTTATTTGCTATCACTTCCATTTCACTTGGTTTTGTGGTGTCCTTATTTGCTATCACTTCCATTTCACTTGGTATTGTGGTGTCCTTATTTGCTATCACTTCCATTTCACTTGGTATTATGGTGTCCTTATTTGCTATCACTTCCATTTCACTTGCTATATTGGTGTCCTTATTTGCTATCACTTCTATTTCACTTGCTATTGTGGTGTCCTTATTTGCTATTACTTCTGAGTCAATGGTATTGTGGTTTCCCTGTTTGCTATCATTTCTCTATCACTTGGTATTGTGCTGTCCCTATTTCCTATCACATCTCAATCATTTGGTATTGTGGTGTCCTTATTTACTTTCATTTTCCTATCACTTGGCATTGTGGTGATCTTATTTGTGGTGTCCTCATTATTTGCTGCCTGTTGTAAGACTAAGGTGACAATCTCCCATCTGTGTGATTAGAAGCTGCCATGGATGATTACTTTCATTAAACCCATCCAACCAATCAGTGTCTCCTAAAATAGGTGGCTCACCAAAGGGACTAAAAGACAAAAGAACAAAAATGTTTACATGTACAAAAATTAATATTAATGACCCTCTGCTCTAAATTTCACAATTTTTTTTAAATTTCCCAACATTGATTTTAGTTAAGAGCTATAGCATCAGCTTCAAATGGAAAACAGTGTGAGGTATGAAGCACTACTTATTTTTTCAGAAATGATATTTATGTCGGATCATGATATGAAAAAATTATACACAGAGGATAGAAAGAGTAATGATTCAGTATCAGAACATAAAATTAAAAATATGAGGTGTATATGAAAATAATATTTAGTAAAACCTATTAAATTTATATTAGAAAACACAATAAAGCATTGCTTCCTAAGTCAGAATATCACAATGTTGTATGTAGTTGTAAGAAAAGAATACATCTGTTAGCCAAAGTTATCTTTCTTATAAATATTTTTTTCATTGGGAAAAAAAAGTAATAATAATACAAATTCTACATTTGGTACTTGAAACATTAAACCATTTTTAAAAAGGTCCTTAAAAAGATAGAACTTGTTCAATTTATTAGGCTTTTATTACTGAATTTAAACGTTTTTTTTTTTGTTAAATGACTATAATCATGGCTCTGCTGTTCTTGAGAAGATTTTTCCTATATATTCTATGTAAAACTTAGATCACCTAATGTTGCCCTATCCTATCCCCAGATTTGAACAAACTTGAATCTACACTACCTGAGGATGCTTCTATATAAGTATGACTTATCATGGCCTTGCTGTTCTTGAGAAGAGGATTTTTCAAGATTTGTCCTTTATATTCTCTTGTAAAACTTTGATCACCTATAGTAGTACCACTCTATCTCCAGGGGTCATTATTTAGACAAAATTGAATCTACATTATTTCAGGAAGCTTTCACATTTTCATTTTTTCTGGCTCAGTGGTTTTTGAAAAGAAGATGAAATTGTGAAAAGTTTACAATGACTACAACAACAACAACAGATGAATTTCAACAGAACAACAACAGACAACGGACGAATTTCGAAAGAAATGCTCACTTGAGCCTTTAGTCATCTTGACTGAACATTTAAACTTTCAATGATTCATACAGTCACATGATTCCTGCAGATTACACACCAAATACATCCATCTTCTTTATATAAGATACCTTATATGTCATAGTAAGTTTACATAATATCGACAAAAGATTGTTGTACTGTATATGTTTTGCAACAGTAAATGCTTCCTACATAAAAAAAGACTTTCCTTTCCATTTTCATTTTGTTTAACACACAACATTGTTTTACTTGGAAAGAGGAGTGTTAAAAAGGTGACAAATTTACAGTTTCATAATATGTTGAAAACTAAATATATTTCTTCTTGGTTGCCTTTACTTGACTTGTAGAAAGATAAGAAAAAATTCAAGCTTCTGCATACATGTTTATATTATCAACAAAAAGGATAAATAAACATTTAAGATAAAACACTACTCCTTTTGGCAGCAGTCATTTTTCAAACTCAAAAGTTGAAATAACATTGTATGTTATAAAATTATGTTAAAACTGTTGAATCTCTAATAAAAAGAATTAACCAATTAACCATATCATAAAAATAAATTATGTTGAAAAGTTGTTTATTTATAGAAATGCCATTGTTAGTATAAGCTTTTCACAGCTTAATCCAGACCCATGCAAGAATAGTGAGATATTTTAGGCCAATTTGATGTCATTTAAACTGTGACATTATTGTATTCCATTGTGACGGCAATCAAAGGTACAGTACTGTGATGCATCTGAAACAATGTTGCATGAAAACGTATGCCCAGATCAAATAGATCAGGCCTCATTAAAATGTTACACCCTAAAAGGAAACAAAAATATTAGTGCTTCCACTATTTGTTACTGTATTTTTCCTAATTCTCAAGATAAGGTCTTTTCCCAAATAGTGGAAAAAGTATTAATGACTCTGTTAAAGTTCAGTAGAAGTTCTGTGGGTCATGTTATTCAACAAAAATCATGTTTGTTTAATTATGTTATGGTCATGCTTGTTTAACAAAAATCAAAGTCCTTGTTCGCCAGTTCTTAAGGTACCAAGCTTATTTACAACAAACATGGAATGATAAAAGGTTACCTTTTTGACCGAAAGGTTATGTTTCTTATCAGAAATGAGTGACAAGGATTAACTTTAACCTAAACACACATCCAGAAGCTAGACCTACATATGTGCAACTATATATAGAATGTTTTTCTTAAACATCTGAAAGAAAAGGACAGTACTGCCTCCCCCCTTTTCTGAACTTTATCTTTTACTGTTAATTTTAGTATGAAAATGTTCATTGTTTCTGTTGCAGTATAGTCAAAACCTTCCATATTGATGTATTTAAAAAAATCTTCTTGTAAAAAAGCCCCCCCCCCCCCCCCCCCCCGCCCTAAAAAAACAAGATTTTGACGTTTATATTATTTTCCTGTTTTGTTTAGTTTTTGTTTTCTTTGCTCGTATACAAATGCAAAGTTAATTTGTTTGTTTGTTTCCTTTTTTGATTTATAGAATTGATGTAAGCTATAAATATTATAAATCTCAATGTCAGTTGCATTCTCTATAAACGGTATATGATAGGATGTTTGATCATGTGATGGTATTTTATCAATTGACTACATATTTTTTGCTTTGATAATAAGCCAAGATTTTAAAATAAGCCAAGTTTGAAAATAAGCCCCAGCTTTCCAACCAAAACTTAAAATAAGCTGCAGCTTATTTTCAAGACTTTAGGGTACTCACACACACACACCCCTACTCACACACTAGCACACAGATAAATGACTTGGCTCTAGATCACTGAGTTCCAGCTTTACTAATCACAAAATATGTGCAGCTAAAATAAACTGATTAAAATTTTATACCAAATACTAGTACCCACTGCTTACCTTTCATGAATCACTGGAGAAGTTTGGTAGATTTCCTTTAGTTCTAAGTCAACAATAGAGAGGGAGGAGGGATAGAGATCACCCTCTTCTGAGACATAATCTTCTGTCACATGGAAAACAGCAAACCTATTACCAGCACCAATCAGGGTCCGACTCTCAGACAAATTCGAGGGAAGTGAGACCTTCCGAACACATGAGCAAACCAGAGCGTCATTTCCATTTTTCCTCTCAACTGTTACAGAGAAGAAAGATAACATCCCTCTGCCACTCTGTATGATATTCACTGTACTATTGTTAACATCTACTTGGGATATGTCAGCAGGTATGCATACTAATCCATCGTTTGTAACAATGGGAGAAGATAAGCAAAAGGGCACATTCAACAGCATATGATGTTCATGAGAAAGTGTTCTGTCTTGGTTGAAAAATTTACTCCACACACAAATCTGTCCTTTTGTATCACATGATAGCATCACTGAATGGTCAGACAATGGGGAATTTAATGCTTGGACCTGCTTAATCCACCCGGAATGAAATTTCACTAAAGTCTGTAAAAGTTCCCCTGAATCATGGTCCCAGATTTTGATGGTAGAGTCAGCTGACCCTGTGAGCACTAGTTTATGCCTCCTTATCGGTTCGATGCACATGACTGCATTGACATGACCGACAAATCTACTGTGACGTTGTCCAGTTTCCAAATTCCAGCAGGCAGCAGTGTTGTCATATGAAGCTGTGTACAGGAATTCCTTGTCAAATTTGATCTGACATATACTGTGGGCCTCAATCACTTTTACTAGATAGGCTATACCAGTTGTTGTATCCCAGAAATATACACTTCTGTCTTCACTCCCTACACATAAAGAATACACATCTATAGTACTCTTTTTCTTTCATTATAAAACTTTTTCTGACATCAAATCTATAGTTTCGACCAGTTTATTTAAAAAAAAAATAAAACAATCTCAATAAAAATTTAATGATCTTCAACATTTTTCTGATTTTTGAAATGAAAAGTGATAGCTACCAGTATTTTTCATAGTAAGAGAAAAATGTTCACTGTTCAAAGATCATTTGCATATTAGTGGGATATAAAAGTGTAAAGTACTTACCAACAGCCAGATATGGTTTATAAAAGTATGTGCTTTTGAGTTTGTAATATTCATCAGTATCCTCATCATCATAGGGGCCAAAAACAAACTGCGCCTTGTCCAGATCCTCATTGAAATTTTCTTTATAATGATACTGGTGCCAGTAAAGTTTCCGAGCTTCCTTCCCTGTGATGGAGGACGGAGCTAACACCTGACCACCAAGTTTCCAGAACTGATGAAGCCAAACTTCCTTGCTAGAGTTTATAACCTTGTTCCAAGATTTGCAAACCTTCAAAATTGAGGGTGAGTTTTACATTTTTGGGCCTAAATGAATTCTTCCTAAATACTAGCTTTCTCTCTTCCATTTAATCAATTTAAAATCCGATACTTACTTTTCTACATTGCTTTAGGCTTTTCCCATCCAGGTATTTTAAAATCTTGATAACAACATCATGGGGTAGGTGAGAAAGGAAGTCTATTTGACAACTGCTTGGAATGAACACTTGTGTGAGATATGTTAGCTGCTCACAGCCACATACTTCCAGTATAGCTTTTAATGTTCTTGTTTTCTGCTCATCTTCCAGCCCTTTAAAAGTCTGTACAAATGAATTCAACCAGTGTTCAAACTCTTCCTCATGTAAAGGCATTTTCTTTCCTTCAGTTGAAGATCATCTAAAAGACAGAAAACTGCTATCATAATTATTCTTATAAGTATCTTCAATGCCTGAACCTGAAAAGATTGAGGACTTCCACACCACAAGATAGCATCCTAAAAGAATGCATTTGCATGTATTATTATGGTGTAATTGGTTATTTGTGATTATAGGGATAAGTCCATTGATTTAATTATTCAATATTTGTATTTGAATTATAAGTAACATTTATTTATAGTGTTGACAACGTATATAGGATTTTAGTAGAAAAACCAATTCGAACATTGAATTATAGGAGTTTTTTTTTAAAATTGGTATCTGTGTACTGAGCAATATTGTAGATAAAATAAAATCTTAATTCAACTATATCCTAATCCTCTGTTATCAATTATCTGAAATGGTTGTAATTAGAAATGCAAGTCTTAAACATGTTAAATAATTAAATTGCAACAGGATCAAGCTGCAGCAATTAACCATAATATTCAGCCTTTCATCAAATTAAAAAGTGTCCATCATGCAGTTATATTTTAGCATTAGAAAGTTTATCTACACAAGCCATAAGGAATATCCCCCCACTCTGGAATAGTAAATAAAAATATACATCTTCTTCATACATATATAGCTAGAAACTTCATTAATGCTTCCATCTGATTGCACCTTGGGGCTCTTTAATGAATTATGCAACTTCATCATGTTTTTTTACTTATCATTAGTGATAAAGTTGAAGAGTGAAAGAATTTTAAAAAAAGAAAAATTATCAGTCTGTTCTCAATGGTATCAGGTTACATGTTTTTCCCATGTGGTTACAACCCAGGTGTTTTCCTCCAGCTTATAAATAAGCATACAAGTGTATCTGGCACAAAAGGAGTGGTAAATACATGGTTTACGGTAGCTGTCTATAAAAAGCAATTGGCTCCAGAGATATACTTGTCAATCGGTTTGTTTCTGTGCGGTATACAGCAAGTCAATAGTAAAAAAAAATCTTTTCTGCTATTTTCCTAACATCTAACCATCATTACTTAAAAACTTAATTGCACTGAAATTACATTTATGTTATGTATAGACAATATTATTCTTAGTTTACTAATTCAAAATACATATGAAATATGTGTCATATAATTAAAACTATTTTAACGATTAAAAATATTTGATGTGTATCAAAATAAAGTTTTCCTATGCAGATAAAATCGAGTAAAAGAATTTTAAATCATCTATTTGATTCAGAATGATACCACTTGGATCAGGCAGTTAGGGTCGTACCCAATAAGGTTGAACACCAGAGACATATAAAACCAACTCGTAATCAGAATGTAACTACTCACATTCGTTTATGATGATGATCGTGTTAGATCTTGAAAGTAAAAATGGCACTGCCAGAACACTTTTCCTGTATAATGTCACAAGAAGAAGGAGTCATGAATTTCTGACACAAACAATATTTATTTTCATACAATATAGGACTATTTGTATATTCACATGCATTAGACACATCCGATGTAAAAATATTTTTGGCTGTTGAGAACGAATGTTGGTTATGTTCTTATTATGTGTAATGGTGTTGTCAACAGTATGACAAAATGACATTTTACATTCAAGATTCTGACAGGATCGTCATTATTATTTAGTTAACATGACTAACCTTACGCTCTTTTTTGACACCGGAAACAAGAGGACGAAGACTAAAATCAAAAACACAGTGAAGTTCATATCGGCAGGGACTTTTAATGAAAATTTGCATCCATAATTAAAAGTTAGAAATAAGACATAACTAAATTAACATTTCTTAAACCGTCAAATAAATATTTTGATAATCAATAATTTATCTCTTTTTCCCCCTTCCCGGAGCTTAAAAGGGGGTTCGAAAATTATTTTCGTTCATTGCCATATGACGTCACACAACAATATGGCTGTCGAGGATTTTTCAAAGGGTTGATTCCATATCCCCATGCACGTATTTATGCAGTCGCTGACCCTTTGGTGGCTCTTCTCTTTTTTAACAGATCTGCTCTGAACATTGATTTGACTTATTGATCTACTGGTGTTAATCATACTGAGGTAAATAATTTCATTAAAAAAATAATAATAACACTAAACAAGTTCAGACTAGTAATTGAAGTTAAAAGACTCGAAATCTCTCAAAGTGTACGGTACTATGATAAGTGTTTGTTTGTTTTTTTTTTTTTTAATTATTATTATTTTTATTAGTTTTTTTGGTTAGTATATAGGTCCTTGGTTTTACCATTTCATAGAATTTCAGTTGTAATTACTAAAGAGTTTATTAACTTAAATAATCTTTCAGAACAAAAACGTTTATATTGTATGACATGAGTATACTGTGTTTTCACTTAATTTTCACAATTTTGTAGAAAAATGGAGGTTCCAGATGAAACAACCCTCTCAACTTCATATGTTTTCCGTGGAATAGAATATATAATCACCATAATTATACAAGGAGGAAACTCATTAACAGTTGAAGTTGAGGATCGCCTTACAGCAGATCAATGGAGAGCACAGTTTGATTCTGCATGTAATCTAATTTTTTCCCCCGTTACATCATTGTTTATTTTCTTTTATAAAACACCCAATTTATGTGTTCAAATTGTTTCAAATAACACTTCTGCTATTGTCTGATTCTCTTTTATTTTGTGGAAAAAAATCTCCCTCTTTGTTGAAAGAACTTCTTCTGTACTTAATGATTAAAGGTATTGGTTGATAGTAAAATTGGTCAAAATAAAGCAAGACCAGAATGGAAGATTCCTTAGTTGAAAGTTAACTTAAAAATAAAATCTACCAGAAAAAGTACATGTACATACAAGGTGGTTTTCTGTTTTTAGATATTGAGGATCTCACCCACAAGACTGGAAATTTCAAACAATTCCATATATTTACCAGTATGCTAGAGTCTGCCATCACTCAGGTTGGATTTTGAATTATTTATATTTAAGCAGATTTTTTTTGCATAATGTTAGCTATATGACCATGCATAATTACACCTAACATATACTTCATTAATAATTCAAAGAAATATTTCTTCTTCTTGTCAAAACTTGAAACATTTTTATTTTGAAATATACAAATTAAGTCATTCACATCTTTATTCACTCAATGATTTCATTTGTTTTCTTCCAGAGTAGTGACAGTGTCTCCCTGGATTTGCTTACTTTTGCTGATTTAGAGTCTCTCCGCCAGAGAAAAGTGGGATCCACCGCTAAGTCAAGCATTCCTGCCAACAGAACTGTTTCATTAAATTCAAAGAGATACCTCATTCTGACATACACAGTGGAGTTTGACAGGTAAGATTTGCATACTGGAAACCTAATTTATCTGTGTTAGTGCTTTAAGTGTCTGATGTAACACATTTATAGATAATTTTAAGATTTGTTTGTGATACCAGAACACTTTTAAAAATAATATGCATTTTTATTTATGTAATCAGTAAATATATTCCTACATTTGTGGAAATAAAAGAAATATTTGAAATCCAAAACTTGAGTCCTGAAATATGTCCTTGTTTGGCCTAAACTAAAAAAAAAAAATTCAACTTTTCAACCCACCAAAAAAAAAAAAAAAAGAAAGAAAAACTCGAAATATTTGTGCTTTTTTTTCTATGAAAAATGGATCTTTCTTTTAAAATAGTTTTAGTGTAAAAACTTTAAAGTACTAGTATATATAATATTGACACTTGAACTTCAGGTATACTGGAAAAGTGGTTTTTCATGTTGGAAGCAAATTTAGTGTAAAGTCTCAAATGTATAATGTATTGGAATCTTGACTTTTTTATCTCTCATCCTCAGATAATGTACCTCAAAATTTTTGAAACTGAAACTTAAGAAACTGATGTTTAGTTGTTATTTTATTTTAGAAAAGGAAAACTAATTTTCTTACTATAATACATATACCTATACTGAAAAATGTCAAACCTTTGAGTATCCTAGGGTTGGGGCCAAAAACAGAAATTTAATTTTAGCCTTTCTTATAAATAATTTTTTGTTATTTTACTAGTACATGTATAAAAAGAATATCTTATTTTCAGGATTCATTATCCACTACCTCTTCCATACATGGGAAAACCAGATCCCAGGGCATTACAGGAAACTATCAGACAACTGAGGGAGGAACTGAAAAGTCTTAGACATCAGGTGTGTATACCTGTTAGTTAATTTAAATTGGCCAGATGGCATGCAGATGTTTTGTGTACAATACTTGCTTGTTTGAAAAGTCTGATGCTACACAAAATTTCCTTATCTATGATGATGTTTCTTCCTCTAGAATGGTCTGCAGAATATTGTAATAAGTCATTGGGAAAAAAAATCTTGTCTGAACTTAAACTAGTTACAATTTATGAATATTTTATATAATTAATATACAATAATTTTTTGACATATCTTCTCTTGAAGGGCGGTTCTGACTTTAGAGGTAAAGAACTAGAAAAACTTCAAAAAGAGTAAGTAAACATTGTGATTTTATTAATAGAAATAAATTGATGGTTTCAAGTTTAAAAGATGAATTATCCTCAGATCAGTTCCTCATAGTGGAATTGCATGAACATTTACAGATTCCATGTTATAATTCTTTTTATCTTTAAAGGAACAAAGCATTGCTGAAAGAGAAGGAGGAGATTGAGGAGGAATTTCTCAGGTATAGACGAGAAATGAAGAACACACCCACAGGGAATGCTGTCAAGGAAATAAGGATGCTGAAATCTGTGACAAAGAACTTGGAGGAGGAATTAATGAAGGAAAAAACTCGACATCAGAGGTCAACCAGCAAGAGGAGTCAAGAATACAGGGATTTACTGGAGGAGGTAAGGGAGGGGATCATTGTTTGTCAGGGGAGTAAGCAGGTGGGACATAAAACAAATAGAAAATATGAAAAAAAAATTCTCTGATTGTCGCGCTTTGATAAGAAGAAATTGATAGTTGTTCCTTTAAAAAATGGTCTCTCTTTTTTTAACTGAATTTTCTTACCCATATAATTAGTTATCTTATTACGTGTAAAATTACAGGTTGAAGAATTAAGAGCATCAGAAAGAAATCTACGAGTTCGTGTCAAAAGTCTCACCAATGAGTTAGCTGTATACAAAAGGTATCAAACATTATACAAACCAATCCTTGTCTTCTGTTAAGTATAGATATAACTTTCATGATAAAAGGATGCAACAGCATGCACAGTATTTTGGCTTTGCCTCACTTTTGAACCATTGGGACCTTAAAGACTACTTCAAGATTCCCTGCTTTATTTTGTATTTATATATTCTTTTTTTGGGAGGCTGGATATTCACCTGTTTCATACACTGCATGCATGTTATAATTACACAAGAGTCATAGTTTTGAGCAGAAATTCTATTTCATTCTTGATAATTTCACATTCTGTCAACTGTTTTAAATTTTACAATGATTAAACTGAGTCATATGTTAGGTGATCAAAAAGTTTGTGGACTGGTGCAGTAAAATTGATATTACCTGGTATATGAGATAGAAATTTCATTTTTAGTCATAGATAACTTAAAAATGATTTACAAAACAGCCTTTAGTAAAAAAAAATTGTTATTTACATGTATATACTTGTTATTATATCCAGTGACTGTGAAACTGTATGCCTTCAATTTTAGGGACAGAGTCAGAACCTCTAGACCACAAACAAGAGAAAGATTCAACAATTCCAGAGAGAGATCTGGTTCATTTTCAAGGGAACGATCACTATCAAGAGACAGATCATGGTCTAGTGACCGATTCTCAGCTCGAGATAGGTCGCTGTCTCGCGAGAGACACTCATCTCGAGAGCGACCTTCCTCAGCCAATAACAACAGTCATTTTAGTAACAGATCCTCTTCATCCTATTCAAATCGCAACAACTACAAACCCCGAAGTAGAACACCTTCCCCAGCAGGCAAGAATCAGTCTTCTTTTTTTTTTAAATCACAAAGGATCCTACATACATTTTAAAGTGTAGGATGATTGATAGGGATCTTGTTTACAAGAGTCTGTCAAGTAGTAAATTTAAGTTTGTTTAAATAATTTTACTGTGAAAAGTTTAATGATTGATTAATATACCTTAATGTATACTAAATATAACCATTTTTTGCATGGATTTGACTTGAAAGTTTTGTATTTAGGAGCAAGAAATCCCAGATTTGATCCTACTGCTTACATTAAAGATAAAGAAAGAAAGAAAAAGGAAGCATCCATGAAAAAGTAGGTTATTTTCTGAGCGAAATAATTTTTTTTTTGTGTGTGCTTCTCAAATCGTAAAAAGTTGCAGTGCAAATCACTTCATTACAAAGATGAAAGTTTTCAGCATGAATCCTATTATTTTTTAAAGATGGTTTTAATTATGTATACAGACAGAGAAATGTCAGATCCAAG